ATTATACTTTGTCTGCTGTCAACTTTTTAAACTGATTATTGTTTGGCAGGGATACCTGGCCAATCAGTTTAACATTCTTAGGAGCTGTATGATTGGGAAGGAGAAGAAGCTAGTAGCCAAGAGAACATAAAGGATTGCCTTTGCACAATGAAATATTTTATCATTTAAATTGGAGTGTGACTTTTGGTTACAATCTTCTGGCTGTCCTGTTGTCTAGCTCTTACACAAAATCGAACTTTGCATTCAGTTCACATTGAAGTAGAGCACAGTTGCTCAAGGTGTATAACTGCAAAATATGTTCCCTTGAATCTATTTTTAGGGACTGGTTTGTTTGCAAAAGAACACTTGCCCCATCCCCAGGATTTAACACCATATGAAAGAGAGTTTCTATAAAATAATGGAAATTATAAAAGAATTTAATGTGTGTAAAAGAGCAAAGGCTGCACAGATTCTCTATTTGTAAAAGTTTTCACTGTGATTATGGTAGACACGTTGCACTTGAAGTCTAAAATATTCATAACAAGCCAAGTGCTTTGTGGATTCTGTGTTAATTCACTTGCAGAAGTCCCACATGGTTAAAACAATCTTGCAGAAAATGATCATGTGAAAATGAGTATAGGAACAGAAATATAAATTTGGGCAAAGCCACAGTCCACAGAAGACCACAAGTTCTTTACTTACAAAATCCTACCAATGCTTTATCCATCAGTTTTTGCTGACCTCCTAAAAACTATTCACAGCTTTCCCCAAACCTTTTGGAGGGACCTTGCATAGACTGAAATTAGTGTTCGAAATTAGCCAGGCACCAGGCACGTTTTGCAACTGGCACAGGTCCAGTTGCAACCATATGGGGATGGATGCTGGGTTGGCGACTGGGGAAAGCATGATGTCACTTAGAGAAGGATCTGAAATATTTTCCTTGAAGCTTGAATTTGTTTTGTTCTGCCTTGTTGTATTTGATGTATTAATATGTTGTCATCCACTTTGAGATTTGTTCTTTAAAATATAAAGCGGTATAGAAATAATAATAATAATAATAATAATAATAATAATAATAATAATGTAGTCCATTGCAAAAAACAAATAATAATAATAATGTAGTCCATTGCAAAAAACAAAAACAAATCAAAACAGCGCCTAGACATTCCATTGTGGAGACTGTAACCCATGTTTAAGGCACCATTTGGCAATTAGATTGTTGTTGTTGTTTAGTTGTTTAGTCGTGTCCGACTCTTCGTGACCCCATGGACCAGAGCACACCAGGCACCTCTGTCCTCCACTACCTCCCGCAGTTTGGTCAAACTCATGCTGGTAACCTTGAAAACACTATCCAACCAGGCAATTAGATTATATATCTAATATATATATATATATATAGAGAGAGAGAGAGAGAGAGAGAGTGTGTGTGTGTGTGTGTGTGTGTGTGTGTGTGTGTGTGTGTTTCCCCTTGAATTTAGTACATCTTGCTTCTGTCTGCACTAGCCATAGGCTGAGCTGCTCTAAATTCATAGAAGCCAAGAGGATGAGTTGGGGACTTCAAGGGTAAGTGGATGAAATAAGATAGAAGGTGAGGCTGAGTGTCAAGGCCTTAAGGACAAAAGGCAGCCTGAAAGAATATCAAAGCTGGAACAATACTACTGAGATTGAATTTTTCTATACAGTATAGCAAAGACCCTGTCCAAGGACAGTTTGTATCATTTTATGAACTTGTTCTACTATCCCAGCATCACTGTGTATTCATGACATGAAGTGAAAATAGGTTTCCTTTAGTTGTTCTATAACTTGCTACATTAGGAAACAGAATTCTAAAAAAGGTTGGAATTTCAAATACATTTGTAATTTTGCAAGTTTTTTAAAAAATAGTTTTGGCAAGAATGTAACAGATTACACCTAATTGTATTTGGTGCATCTGAGAGTGATTATTTGCATTATTTGTTGCCCAGCAAATTCTAAATAGCAACTGTTGAAACTAGGAAGAGTTGAACAATTTGCACTCAGAAGTAGGTTTTCTTTTCTTTAAGTGAAGAAAATGCATTTAAAACATTAGGGTTTGTTGAACATAAGAAAGTAGTTCTGTAACACTTGTTCAATATAGTTGACTGTTCTCAGTTATGTGTATACTTCCATTCACACTCCAAACACTATGGATCATTGTGTTGTGAATAATACATAGACTGAAATGCAGCTCACAGTGTTAGAAGTTGAGCTCAGGCTGGTTTAGGACAGGGCTCCCAAGTTTGAGTCTCCAGCTGTTTTTGAACTACAACTCCCATTATCCCTAGCTAGTAGGACCACGTAGTCAGGGGTGATGGGAACTGTAGTCCAAAAACAGCTGGCGACCCAAGTTGGGGAGACCGTGGTCCAGAGCTTAACATGCCATATCATTTTTTGAAAGTTAAAATTATAAATTTGAAAATGCCATTAGGCTGACCTAGAAAAATCTCGTACGGATCTGAGTCACCTCCAAAACCCATGAGCAACGGGCAGCAGTTGAAGGGAGCTATACAAACTTCAAGATAGCATGTTCTCTCTCAGGATCAGTTAAACAATCACAATCTTTCTCTCCCCACCCCCAAAGTATTTACCCAGGCTCTTATTCCATCAGTTAGTGCACTTAATCCTTACCAATGCTTGGTCTGGCATGAAACTTGTACGGTAGCTGTGCATTATTTCCAAGTTATGGAATTATTCTGGGAAGAGGGGAAACTACAAACGAGCTGTTACCTGCATACATTTTGTTATTATTATTAATTATTTAAAATGTGTGCAGATGAACAGTTATAGCCCTCTTTTGTTCAGAGAGGCTTCTGAGTATTCTGACACAGGATTGCACTATATTCTTTAACTTCCGTATCCTCCTTGATCAATGATAACCTTCTGGCAGGCAGACTCCCTTAAGCCTCAAAAATTACTCTTGCTTCAGATGTTACTTTGTTCCTATCTCCCCCTCAACATGAGATTGACAACAGTAAATATATGGTGGGGGGAAACGGGTTCCCATTTGGCTTAATGGAGCAAATGGGGGGGGCATGGGGAGAAAATAGGAGATGGAGGAGAAATTCCATTGCATAAGTGGAAATCGTTTTGCTAACGGAACTGCTTTGTTGGATATCACTCAGGGTGTTGATGTGTTAAATTATGTGGGTTTGTGGGGGTGTGTGGAGGTTTTAGTGTGGAGCGGGAGTCAGTATGGGCAGACTATTTGCGGGTTTTGCTGCATGGGATGGGGCTCTGTAGTGTTCAAAATTAGCCAGGCGTACTTTGTACCTATTGGCCACTTGCGACCAAGTGAAGATGCCTGGGTGCCAAGATGGTACATGACATCTCAACCCATCTGGAGGTGCATGCCTGGATATCATTGGATCTTGACTATTTTCACACACTAATACAACATTCTGTAGAATTCTATCAGTTATATTTTATCTGCACAATCAGAATGAATTTCAGGAACCAAAATGCTTTTTTTGTGCAGTCATTATAGTTATGAACGATTTTATAATTAATTGTTGTAGCTTGACTTCACTTACCCACCCCACTGCCCAGGAACATTCCTATGTTATGAATGTTCTGTGTCACCATTAAGAAAGAGAGGTAGGAATAGGCCAATATATATATATTGACTGTCCCTGGATAAAGTGACTTTCCTTATTTAAATTCTCAAAGTTCTTAACCTAACTCAGGATTGCCATATGAACTAACCAGATGCTTAACCAATCACAGGCAGGCAGTCCTTTGAAAAATAGGACTTTAGAGCGGCCTTGCCCCAAAATGGCAACTAGACATTCTTCTTTGGCGATAAATGTGAAAAATCACATTGGGTAGATAATGTATGCAAAGTTTCAAGTTAAGTAGCCCAACAAATGTCATTTCTGTATGCTATGGAATGATGACAGAATGACAGAACCTTGTTTTTGATGCTCCTATAATAGAGATGCTTGACTTCTCGAATGCTGTTATGCACAAATACTTGGGTGTTTCTGACCTGAAATTTAACATATTCCCTTTATTGTGTTCTATTTCCAAATCAAACACATTTAAAGAATTTCCAAGAAATAGTGATGATGTTGGTTGGATGGGGGGGGGCACAATTCCCTTTTCTAGAGAGATCACTTCCCACTAATTGACTCAAGACAGCATCTCTCTGGATGGAGCAGGTTGCTGCCTACACAACTCCCTGTCTAGACTACAGAACATGGGTGTAGCCAGGCTTTTTGTTGTGGGGGCAGGCTTTTGGGGAGGGCAGAACCTCAGATTTGTATTGATTTAGGGAAGGAGCAGCTGCCCCTACCCGCCCCCCGGCTATGCCCATGGTACAGAAGTGTGTTCATGCAGTTAGGGAAGGGAATTGTGTAGAGTGCAAATACAGATTATGTGGTAGGGTAAAACTGAAGGCATGTAAGATGTATCCTCAATTACTCTTGCACACTTGCTCTTAAAGGTTTATTGCTTTATAATTTAATCATGTACTGCTATCCGCTTGAGTTTATCTGGGATCCAGAGATATATCTTAATGATGATTCTTTTTACTATAGCTGAAATATTTCATAGATAGGTTTAGGCTGCTGTGCATTATTCAACTTGAACATATGAATTATTTCTGTTGCCTTTCGTGCTTAGGTAAGCATTTGCACTTACAACTTCCCTGCAGAATACAATAAATATAGGTTTCCTTAAATAAACTAATTCTTCTAAGCATGCACACGGTTTATATTATAAGATTTTTTCCCCTTCAGTGGGTGTAAAATTTCATATGACAGGTTTTTCATTTTCAGGTTACTTTTTTAGAATAGTCAGTCATGAAATTTTTAACCTTGGTGAATGGTTGTTCTTTGAGTTGCTGCTAATGTTTGCAATGTGTTAACTTTTTTGCAATATGTACAAATTGAAAGTTGGCACAAGTATCTCCTTAAAATTCCAACACCACACTTCCCAGGTTTTATTTTTGTTCATTTTTCTTTTCTTTTCTTTTCTTGCTTCATGCTTATTTCTTAATGGGAAAGGATGCCGGAACATCAGTAGGGGAAAGCTTTTCTGAAAAGGTGGGTTATAAATTTTGTTCAAAAAGCTGGCTTGTTTCTGCCTTTTTTCTATGTATGCATGTTACGCAATTTATTTCTCTCTCCTTAGTTTGCTGCTTTATTCCTGTCCTTCCAGAAGATAAGATCTTTCTCAGTCGCTGACAAGGAAGTAGCTTGTGAAATCACAAACCCTGTCCATAAGCATTTTGTAGACTTTTAAAAGTTTTTTAAACTGGAGAAGGCAGTGACTCCCATCACAAGGACGAAATCTACGCCCCTTCTTGCTTTGTCAGGATAGTTTCGTTCAAGCAGGGCTTGTCAGCTTTTATCTGTGCTACTTTCTTCCTGTATATTGCTGACTTCTCCGTGGCTGCCAGCTCTTAAATCAGATTCTGGATCAATTTTCCACAATGAAGGATTTGAAATACACATAAATGAAGGCTTGACTATTTCTATTAAAAAATAAAAAGGTTTCCTCTTCTTGTTTTCTGACCTGTACTGTGCCCTGTTCCATATTTTGACATTGAGCACTGCAGAAGTTTTGGTGGGATATCCAAATGGCACCCCCATTATCTTAAATAATGGGCAGCTTTTGCCTATTTAATGGTACCCCAAAATCTGTTACTTGAAAAGTAAATCCTAAGCTGCCTCATTGTGTCTATTGGTAGGGAGCCCTGAAGTGGGCTGCCCAGGAACACAACATAGTCTTCATGCAATGATGTTTCTAGGGTTTCCTTTCCACTAGCTTTTGATCCATTGGCTTCTTCACTTGGCACTGAAATACAGAGAACTCAACACTAAGTTTCAGCCTCTGAACAAAGACTGCTGATTATATTGCACACATTATGTAACACTGTTGTTGTTTTTTTATTAGTTCTTGAGGCCCTCCCACTGCTTCCATCAGTAATTAAAAACCAAAGCTCTGCATCTGATGGAAGGATAAGCTGGTTGGGTCAGGGCCCATCAGGTTGGAAGTGATGGATAAAATGATGTAAGGATAATGGGGAGAAAAGATAAATGAGATGGGGTGGCATTTGGATATAAATTGTGAAGTATGTTGGAAAAGATAGAAGAAAAATGAAAATAGGAGAATGGCTGAAGATTGAAGCGAGGAAATGAGAAAATGTGGTGTCCCAAGTGTGGTTTCTAAAGGGAAATGAACTCTTCGCATGGTTTTACATTTTATCACCTTTATGTGCTAGTTTACCATATTTTTCCACAGAGCCTTTCACCTTTTTGAGGCATTCTCAAGCACAGGACTAAGGAAAAAATGCTGTAAAAATCTCAAAACAACACAATATTTTCCCTTTATGAACAGTGTAGGAGGACCTGTCATGTGTGCACAACCTAAAGCTGCTAGTGTAGGTTATTTAGAATCTTGTAAAATAATTATTACGAATTCAGAAGGAATGCTATTGTCCATGCACAACACACTTGATGTTTAGAATGAGAGGGATTAAATTCATCTTACATTGGCTGCAAGTTCTTTTTCACTTTGAGGTGTTTTTGGCAAGATGCCACAACTACTAAACTAAAATGAAGTCTCTACAGTTGTCTTGGTGGCCAATATTTACTGCCAATGAGATGGTCCTTAACATAGTAGAAACTAGAAGTGCATCAGATTTGAATGAATCCCAAATCAGGAACTGAAATAGGGCACCCCAAACAGATTTGTGGCTTGTCCAGGACAAAGCAAGAGCTTTCAGAAGCACCTTGAGCTAAAATATGGACCTTGAAGTGATCTGGGGCAATTCAGAGATACGGATGTGTAAAAAAGCCGTGCATTGTATCTGCAAAGTTTTAAACATTTCGACCCAAGCTTACCCTATAAGAAAAGCAGGTGGGTGGTAGGAGGGAGAGCTCTTTTGTCAATGACAGGACTAATTTAAGGGGGTTAGGTTTTATTCAATGAAAACATCCCATTGGCACAAGGACTTACACACAAAAACTTCCCCTCTGCTCTCCCTGTGCCTCATTGCCCTCCAGATCTGCTTTGAGTGGCAGAACCTCCAGAACAGATTGGTGGGGGGAGGTTGAGAGGGAGGCAAGCAGTGCTGTGCAAGATAAGTTCTTGTATGAATGGGCTGGCTTCTCTACTCTAGATACAATACCCAATGATTTTACCAAAGCTTTTTAATCACAGCTCTTTAGCAAAGGGCTTTTGGCTGGTGCACACCCTTAGTAGAAAGTGCTGTGCACTTTGAGTGTAGAGAAATAATTTAGGTGCATGTTTGTAAGGTAACCATATCACAGTTTGCTTATTTTGTCTAGCTACTTGGACCAGAATGTCTTCTCAATGACCCGGTCATTTTTCTCATCTTCTTTTTCCCTCCCCCCCCTCTCTCTCTCTCTGTGTGTGTGTGTGTACAGATGCACATCCCATAAATGTCAGAGCAAATAGGCCAGTTTAGGCTTTGCCAAGCACTACATCATCCTGTACATTTGCTACTTCCCCTTTAAAAACAAATAGAACACGACACACCATTTCTTGCCATTCAAAAACTTCTGCTACTTTGTTTGTGTGTCAGTCAATTCATAAATTTTCACATCACTTCTTCAGTACTTAATTTCCCTTTCTTTAGGACTTAATAGTGAAAAAGGCAGAATGAAGAAGCTTTTGTTATCACTGTAGGTGTGGCTATTCTATACATTTCTACTTGTTGCTCAATTGGCTTTTGATAGCAGTTGGCTTACGTTATTATATTTCTTTATCATTTCTTATACGTTAGCACTTCTGCTGCTTCAGATTAAGCAATTTTAGTGGCAAGACCTTTAAAAATTGTGATAGAATTAGATAATTCAGCTATGGTCCTCTGGATGAAGAACATAGTGGCATCACTGATGTTACTGAGTTTGTCTAAAACTATTGCCTGCAGTTCATCATGTCCTTGTCTTGCAGTTACCAATGTAGAAAATTCTAGGGAACTCTTTTTATACCCTAAGCAATGTTTTTGTAGATATTATTAGTAACATATTTTAAAGAAGTTTAGAAAAGAGATTTGGCGAAAAATGTAGGAAGTTGCTTAATACTGCATCAGGCCCTTGGTTCACCTAGCAATTGTCTTCTCCAGGTTTAGCCAACATGTCAATGTCCTCCAGCAGTTGTTTGACTCCTAACACCCTGCCAGTGGTCAGGGATGATGGGTGTTGTAGTCCAACAGCATCTGGAGAGCATCATGTTGGCTACCTCTGGTCTACACAGGCTCTCTAGGTTGTCAGATTTTTTTCAGCCCTATCAGGAGATACCAGGAATTGAACCTGGAACTTCCTGCATTTGAGAGATGTGTTCTGCTACTGAGCTACAGCCCTTGTTGAAAGAGGAACAATGATTCACTTCCTTTTTGTTATGTTCTACAGCTTCATCAGTGTGCACTGTGAAATACAAGGAAAATATAAGAAAAGCAGGTCTCTGCCTCAATCAGGTTACCACCTGCATTTGGACGGTGTGGAGAGTGGGGTGGATGGAGAGGCCAGAATAGCTTAACAAACGGAAACAGGAAAAATGTATTAGAAGAGCTGGGGAAGTGAAGGAGGTGTGAGCAAATAGATTTACACATACTTGGGCTCTGTTTCTATTGGAGTTTGTGGACAACAAAGCCTAACAATGCAGTTATATACACATCTACTCAGAAGACAGTTTGGTGGAGTTCAGTGAGGTTTACTCCTAAGTAAGTGGGTATGACTGTAGCCTATATGTATGTGGCTGCATCTGCACACATTTGTTCTATGTCAATGCCAACTTTCCTGTTTGATGATTCCGTAAGACACATTTGCCAAATCCTGAAATGCACTTTTTAGAGGGTGAAGCTAATAATCAGTTCCTTGGATGCCACAAGAGCACTACAGATCTTATACAGTGGTACCTCGGGTTACAAACACTTTGGGTTACAAACTCCGCTAACCTGGAAGGTAGTACCTCAGGTTGAGAAGTTTGCCCCAGGATGAGAAAGGAAATTGCATGCCGGCAGCAGCGGGAGGCCCCATTAGCAAAAGCACACCCCAGGTTAAGAATGGTTTTGGGTTAAGAACGGACCTCTGGAACGAATTAAGTTCGTAACCCGAGGTACCACTGTACTTGGATAATACTGAGGAACTGTTGATGGGCATACAGCATATTATTATGTATCATGGCTTGTATTCCTCCATGAATTTGTTCATTTCCCTTTTATGATGTGTGAAACACTGTTCGTCTGCCCTGATCTACTGCCCCATTACTTTAATTGTGATCGCCAAGTTCTAGTTCATTGGAGTCTGTTCTCTCTTTGATTTGGAACAATGTTTTCCAAAGTACATTGTCTTAAATATGTGTGTTTCTTTGTTACAGCACACCTCTCATGGCGAAGGACGGCAGGAAGCTCCCCCTCGACCTAGTCGGTCTGGTGCCCGCTGTAGGAATTCTATAGCTTCCTGTGCAGATGAACAACCCCATATTGGGAATTACCGGCTTCTTAAAACGATTGGAAAGGGGAATTTTGCAAAAGTCAAACTGGCCAGACACATTCTTACTGGCAGAGAGGTACAGTGTTGTTCATGTTTCGAAAACAAAAAGCTATTTTAAATATGCCTAAGCATAAAAGAGCAGCCAATATATTGTAAACCTCCCTGTGATCTTCAGATGAAGAGCAATATACAAATTTAATTACCATAATTAATACTGCTACTACTACTAATATTTTGGCTTTATCAAGAAGTCCCTAACACAGCAATTTCTAGCAAACGCAGTAATAGTGTGAACTTAGCACATAATCATGTTACCTCAAAACTGTGCATGAATACTCCATCTTTATATTGAATAGAAACCCCTAAAGGTTTGATCCAAAGAAGATACTTTTCCAGATTGAAATGTGTGTAAACCAGAATAGAGAGAATAACATTTATTGCGAAAATAAAATAAATAAATAGCAGCCCATGGGTTTCCCACCTCCTGACTCAAATGAATTTCTGTGCTTCGTAGGTATTCCTAGCAATATTTTGCCAAATATTTTTTAAAAGATCTTTAAAAAATCTTTTTTAGGAATAGAATTGAATCATCAGTTTTCAATCATCAGTTTTGTAGATTAGTGTCACCTGGAAAAACCAGCTAGCTAAATATAGTAGTGGTTCAACTGGCTCTGTTCTGTGGAATAGTATTTCTGCTGAGATGTAACAGGTGCTCACTATCTGTACTTTCCAGTTCTAATCGAAGACATTTTTGTTTTGACAGGCTTTCCCAGCTGAGTAAATGGGTCTTTGCCCTGAGTGTCTATTTTGTATTGTTTTAGTTTTGTTTTAAATGTATTGACTGTTGTTGTGCCTTTTTAAAAGGTCTAGGACCAATTGTAGCCCCGCTTAATTTTCAGTTTTGATAATTAATCTAAAATTGAGGTTATGTTCCTTTGGTTAACCTGGATCTGCCACGCTTGAGTAGGTTCGTGTCATACATTCTTTCATCGTAAACAAAAAATGCATCACTTTACATTTTGTATAAACTCATGATCTGGGTTTCATTTATGCAGTATGCTAATGTTACTGTAATCCTACTTGGGTGTTAGTTGCATTAAATTCAGAGAAACTTGCTTCCAAATTCATTCAGGATCACGTTCCAAGAATAAGAAGTAGCCGGCATGTGTGGAATGTAGTTTTATTTTTGAACTGAAGTGTGAGGCAGACCTTAATAATGGGGGAGCACAGAAACCATTCAAAGCTAGTATGTAATTTTGGACAATTGGGAGAAATGAAGGCTCTGTTTCCCTTGCAAATGGACTGGACTGAAGTCTGGACTGAATGCTGACATTTTTTTGGAGCAGGGAGCAGGCTTAGCAAAAAAATTACTCAGGTTGTTGCTTTGTGCTAGTCACCAGCACCCTGGGAACTGGTGATTATGTGTCTCTAAGCCACCTTGAACTTGTACCTGATTAAAAGATGCAGACTGCTTAAAAGATGGCCATTCCTTAATCTCTCTTGCATTTGCAGATCTGGGTGGCTTGGTGGCTCACTTTTTGATAACTTCTGGAGTTTTTACTGCTTATGGTGCTGCCACTTTGACTTGGCATCATTGTGAAATTCATTTATTTTTATTTTATTTATGTACTGAATAAAATACTAATTCCTATAGACAAAAATAAAGGAACTCAAATATGCAGACATCCTCTTGATCCAGCTGTGTCCCACAATTTTACATTCTCCACATGCACTTAACAGTGAATATTCTATGCTGTCACGTATTTGCTTTCATATTCATGGAAAGGTGCTGCCTTCGTCTCCAGATACTTTTCAGAAAGCTACTTCAGAAGTAGATGGATGACTTAATCTGATAAATTCAAGGAGTGTCTGACAGAGGGTACTCGAGATAATATATAATATAAAATACATTTGCAAATCCAGGCGAACGTATTATTTTAAAGAAAAGGTAGGGTTGGATAATAGGCATGACCTATTGTTTCTGCTCAACTGCTGGTCTTCGCTTTTGAGGATTCCTAGCATTTGAAAAGTTACCTTTTGAAATGAGCACCTAGAAGTGCAGCGGAATTCAGTGTGGATCTCAGGCAAGCGTGATAACACTAGTTACAAAAGGAAGGCCAATCTGCCAACAGACAGCTGTCTTATACTAGCTGATGTTTGTGAGTAGCTTTGCAGCATCCCCCTAGTATACGGTGCTACAGTTAATCTGGTCTGGAGGTGATAAAGCTATGGATCAATGTGCATCTGGTGAGTCGCAGAAGGGGCTTGCAGCATTGTGTCGTCTTTACCAGGATTGGCTGGCGCTGCTGTGTATAGGGATGATCTGTGTTGAACACATTGTTGAAAGTTGAATCAAGGCAAAGAGGCTTATAGCTCAGTGTAACGCTTGTGTAGAAACTTCTGTTAAAGTTGATTGTCTGAGATGCAGCAGCCGCTTAGAAAGGAAGGAAGGAAATTGAAATTTCATCATCTGCAGATAGAAAGTTCAGTGTACACTGTGAGAAGCTTTCAAATCCTCCCTGGTATTAAAACTTTCATATTTGGTGTATGCCAAGGGGTTTAAGAACTCTTCTTGATGAAGAGCACTGTAAAAATGCTTTAAATGATTGAGATGTGTGAATAAAGAGAATTTTTCTTCCTCTCATATGCTGAGCTGATCCACAGATTTCTTCTTACATGTGGGACAACAGGCTGAATTTCTATCTATTAGGAGTATCAGTCACTAAACATGGTTAACTGAACACCTCATAAATTTGCTGAGGTGACATGCCCTTGGGACAAAACTGAATTGCCTTAAATTGCCTTAAGGGTACCTTTGAGACTTTGGCATTCTTTCAAAGGCTGGATTCATAATTTTTTTTCCTGTTTGAGAATTATACCTGCTCTACCAGTGCTGTTGCCTCTAGTATATAGAATAGTCATATGATTTGTCACCTCCCTCCGCTGCTGCTGCTGCTGTACCCATTGCTCTTTCTCTTTTGCTGCTACTGAGGCTGAAATATTGAACAGAGCTTCTGAAAGTGGCGTGAACTGGCACCAGGAATTAAATATAACTCAAAACGTCTTCTGAAAAAAATTGATCTTTTATTAGTTTTGTAAACATGGCTTTTCTCATTTGCCCCTCTTTTCCTAATGTAACTATGTCTGTCTGAGTATGTGTAGCAATTTCATTTGATTGGCTCCAGGGTTCCATTCATGGCTCAGTCCTTGAAGGACAGGGATTTGTTCTTGCTGTTATTTGCAAATCACCATATTGCACTATATCAATATTCTGTCTATATCAGATGTCAGGTGTAAGTGCTATTGCTTATGATGCCAGAATTGACCTATGCACACAGAGGAGGGAAATAATAATAATAATAATAATAATAATAATAATAATAATAATAATGGTATTTACTTATACCCTGCCCTTCAGACTGGGTTGCCCCAGGCATTCTGGGTGGCTTAGGTATGAGCAGGCCTAGGGAAACCCCTGTTTTGCAGAAATACAAGAAATCTTTAGGGTTTAGAGAGATATTATATTTAATAGATAAAATAGAAAATAAAATAAATAAAATACCATGGAGATTATTGTTTTCATTTGTTACTACATTGTGTATTTTTGTGTTTTTATATTGTAAACCGGCCTGTGATGCTCAGATGAAGGGCAGCAGAATAAAACACAAGATATTCCCAGTGGGGTCTGACCATGGAATAATGGCTGTTAAAGAGGGAGGGAATGGCGTGTCATAGAGGGCTTGATGGACAGATGTGAGCAGTGAACAGGAACACAACACTGCAACATATTTTTGTGCAGGTCCCAAGCAACAATATTTAGAACCTCTTTCAGATCTCATTAATGATAAACTAATGTGAGCCCTGAATTATTTTCTATCCATTTTATTTCTGTTTTGTTTTGGTGGCCAAGTCACATGTTTGCTTTTTGAGCACCAACTCCATTTTATAGGATGCTGATGACTGCCTTCAGGTTAGGTTCTCACAAATACAGGTGCCACATAAGTTGCATGTGATGGAATGCAGCTTGTGATTGATTTTGGACAAAGATTGTGTGATACTCCTATGGAAACTCATGATAGATTCACAGCATCCCCGATCCACAGGTTTTAAGTGCTAATGCTTGAATCTTCAGATCATGTCAGGTGTGTTTGTCATTTTGTTTTGTGCAGTCTGTGCTCAAAGGGTGGTGCACTTACCATCACCAATATCTCTGAACTGTAACATGAAATCATTTAACAAATACTAACTGTGAACCATTTTCTCTCTAGGTTGCAATAAAAATAATTGACAAAACACAGTTGAATCCAACTAGTCTACAGAAGGTAGGTTCACTTAGCTGTTTAGCCATTCAGGTATTTTAGTTCATATCCCTTTGTAGTATTTTTCATGTTAGCCCTGACTTAGTTTTAACTTTGTGTTGGCATTTTTCGGTGAAGTCCGTAGTCCATGGTGGTTTCAACTTAATGCTGACTTTTTCCTGCATTTTGCAGGGGGTGGGAGAAAGTGCACAGTCTTATCTGATGAATTTGATCCCATTTGAACTAGGAATTTACATACGAAAAAAGTCTGAAATAACACCTATCCGTCTTATTTCCTTATTCTAGTACTCCAAACTGCTGCATAAACTGAACAAGAGCCTCTGTTTCTTCTGCTGTTTTGTCTCATGGGCAAAATGTATTAAACATTAAGCATTTACTGGGATGCACTTTCTTAGACTGGAGCTGCACATTTGTTTATTTATTTCACTAGACGTCTTTCCTGCCCTGCACCATGTTTCAGGGCAGTTTACAACTGTGGAATATGCCGTTATAAAACTGTTGTTACCATAAAACATGTCTAAAAACAATTTAAAACATTTCCATATAAAAACAATACAAACATTTTGAAAACAGTTCCACATATAAAACCAGTTAAAAATAGTACCAATACAGAGACAAAGTGAATGACAGATTCAAGTCTGGGAACCCAACTCCTGTGGAAAAACTGAAAAGCAGCAGGATGGAGTTGGGGCTTAACCTATCCCCTTCCCTCACTGCAGCCCTTCTCAATCCAATTGGATTTTTCTTGAAATGCTGCAAGCCCAAAACAGGAATCTCTACTGGGGAAAGCAACCTGGGTGTGGCTTTCAGGTGAAAAGTGGGGAGGACTTAGTACTCCACCCTCCCCATGGTTTCTCTCTTGGAGATTGTGCACTTTTCCCTGCTTCCTTTCAGCTGTTCATGGTAACCTGGATTGTTGCTAGACTTTCAGACTATAAAATTATGCTGTTTTCCTGTGGGTTAAACTACAGAGCCTAGGACTTGCCAATCAGAAGGTCGGTGGTTCGAATCCCCTTGACGGATTGAGCTCCCGTTGCTCGGTCCCTGCTCCTGCCAACCTAGCAGTTCGAAAGCATGTCAGAGTGCAAGTAGATAAATAGGTACCTCTCTGGCAGGACGGTAAACGGCATTTCCATGTGCTGCTCTGGTTCGCCAGAAGCAGCTTAGTCATGCTGGCCACATGACCCAGAAGCTGTATGCTGGCTCCCTTGGCCAATAAAGCGAGATGAGCACCGCAACCCCAGAGTCAGTCACGACTGGACCTAATGGTTAGGGGTCCCTTTACCTTTACCTAGTTTGTATGCTGACTCACCATATTTTTCCACATACTATTCTAGCAATGCCCTAATATCTCTAAGGAGAGTCGTTGGTTTAATTCAAAACCACTTGATTGCTCTCCTTCCTTTAGCATTAAGGGCAGCTTTTAGAAAATAATCAAGAAAATGCTTGAGAGTACCAGCCATCTGGAATCCTGGGTTTCTTGAAAGGATGTGAGAGCAGAGCACTCCTTTGCAGAAACTTGCAAGATTACTGCACTTCCCAGGAAGCAGACTTTTCATTCTTGGGGAGCCTTCAAAAGCTGGACACCAACACCCTCCAAATTATACGTGCTGTCTATCATGTACTTTATTTGTCAATGCTTCAATGGAAGTTGCATTGTTTGTGAGGCAAGAACTAAAAATATTTAAACATGGATTCAGATTTGCTAATTAATGAATGTGCATTTAGGATAAGGCAAATGGCCTAGCAACATAATGCAATAATAGACTTTTTACACGGAAAGGAAAGGAAAGGAATGTTGCCCTCTGAGTGATTGGCTACCATCAATCTCAGGAATAGATGGAGCAATTTGCTAAATATATACATGAGGAATTTGGGAATTTTTATTCAATGTTATCTCAGACTTTGAAAAAGAGAAGTTTTAATATAGTATATATATTTTAAATCCCTTATATCTGCCAGGTATCCCAGGAAGTGCCCCATATAGCTGACATTTGACTTAATCCGCTGCCAACTCTTATGATTGCTTTTTGTTTATCTTGCAATATGAAAAAGCAGATTACTGTTAGAGGTCTTGAGCTGCACTGTTAAATCTGTAGTGTTCTGGGAGGTTTTATTACAACCTTTTTTTTAAAAAAAAGCAGTATTTGTGGGAAGGAATTGCACAGCCCTTGTTTAGAGCATAAGCAACTAAATTTTTGGGCGTTGTCTTAATTAATTAGCAAGACCTGTGGGTTTTATTCAGACATACACAGATCATAGAGTCTCATTTGAATACTGCAAACTGGGCCATTCTTCTATACCTTGGATGTCACCACTAGGAAAGCATATAGCAATGAAATTTCTCCTTCATGTCTGCCCACTATTCTTATTAGATACTTGTGCTAGCTTGTTGGCAGAGTCACAAAAATCATTGTGAAACCTTTTGAGGTAAACATTTTATTTTGACCCAGAACTGGACAGATTCCAGATACATATCAAACTGTATAATTATTCCTGGAATGTTCATCCTTTGGCACTTGGAGCACTAAAGTATTTCTAGAGTTCAGATTAAGAAGACATGCAAAGAAGCTTGAATGTCCTTCTGAAATCTCTTTAGCATCAGCTTGTTACAGCTTTGTGTCCCAATATGTGTGGCTTGCTTTTTGCTGGGGTGTTTCTTAAACCTTTTTAAGATATAAGAACCCTTTTCCAAGTTCCTAAAATGTGATTATACACCCTTTAAAATAAAAAGAAACGGCTGATTTTTAAAAAAATCATAAACGGTTGTATTTTTTCTCTCCGTTCCAGCTGTTCAGGGAAGTGAGGATAATGAAGATTTTAAACCATCCCAATATAGGTAAGGCATGTGTTAAAGGCTTTTACTTTTGAGGGCTGAGAAGTGGGAATAACTGTATTTATAAATATATATTCATTAGTTAATTGACTAAAAGTATGTGTGTGTTTATAAAATATGAGCAGCATCCAATGCTCCCATTCCACTAATATAAGGCATGTGTGCTAGTGGAACAGAGATCTCTCCTCTCTCATGCGGTGCCCTGCTCGCCCTCAAAATTCAGCTCTGAAGGATGGGGGACCAGCTGAAGAAGATTTTGGGGGTAGGCAGGGGATTGAGGAAGTAGGTGTGTCCCTGTCTCAGTACAACTCTGCTAGTGCTAGTTTTGATGCATCCCTCAGAGATAGAGAGAATATGAAGGTTTTCCATTATCCCAGTAATTTTTGACGGGGTTCATGTTTTTGCTTTAGGTGAACTTAACTAGCTTTGTGTATTACTTACACATTACCCCATGTGATAAAATGTGTGAAGGCTTCTATTTCTATTATTCCATACATGTACATGTCAATCACAGAGGTGTTGCTCTAAATTTATATTTGAGTGTCCTCCAACTGAAATTAATGGCTTTTAAAAAAAATATTTAAAAAATACGTTATGTCTCTTCAGCCTATGGGGCTTTTGTACACAATACAAGATTTCAGTGGCTGTCCCCTGTGCCACATTCAAACTGCTTTTGCAAATCCCACCTTTCCACAAAGTTGTGCAAGAAACTCCTCATGTCCAATTAAAAAGAGGGGGGAAATCAAAAACCCTGCTGGCAAGATGGACTTGATCACAACAACATCTGTGTAGTATTTATTTAGTTTATTTGCTTGTTGCTTTCTACAGAAGTCGTAAATTGATGTACAACAGTAAAGCCCATCACTTGTTGCTTAAACTTGCCTTCATTGAATGCCTCTCCCTTGCTGCTAGGCAAAATAATGTATTCATCATATGAACCCTCGGGATATAGTGTACCGTAAGCAGAGAGCCTGAATAACAAGTTGGTTCTTGATAACTCAAGAAATAGAGGCAGTTGTTTGCATGGTTACTAGCCAGCATGTCCTATATGAATGCCTATACATTGCCTATCCATTGCTACATATTTGGGCACAATAAGTCCAGCAGCTTCCTCTCAGAGGACATTTTTGGGCAACAAACCCAGTCCAGTTGATGTTCCAGATGTCTTATTCAGGAGAATGTTAAAGAGGAACATTAAATTACAATATTTTACTTAATTTTGTAGTATTAAGGGGTATATTGGTTTAAAGATACATTCCAGTTTTGAAGTTCCCTTTTGCTTTTCCTGAAGAGAATGGGGATAGTCAGAGTTTAAAACGATGCATGCTGTTGCTCAAACATGTTTCTAAGCTTATAAAATAAATCCCATGTCTCCTAAATAAGAGATTCAGCTATTCCCTGACTCAGCACTTTAAATCTCCAGTCGACTCAGGTTTCTCTGACAGCTTCTACATAATCCCCAATACCTCTATCACATTTACTATGAAAATTCGAGTCAACCTAAAATTAAGCTCAGTGTAAAAATAAGTGGTAATTGATACTGTCATTTATAAGTGTGGTTTCTGAGGGAATTCCATTCCTATGCGGTTCAATATTCTTGATACAAAGTTCAGACTTAATATGCAGTATAGAAAACTAGTATCGGAACTTGTTAGCATTTGTAGTTCATACAGAACCCAGTGACACATTCACATGCTGTATCTAAAATTGAAGCAAACATGTCTTTTGCAAAAGTGATTTAATTGTGCTACCTGCATCTAGCATTCAGAAGTAGCCAAGATCTCTTCCAATTAACATTGCTTAGATTCTGCTGTGTACATTGGGTAGGCTTTGTAGCTTTGACACCTATTCATCAGGGAGAAGAAAATAAAGAGGAAGCTAGTCTTCAACTGCCAGGAAATAACTGTTCTTAGATTAAATCTGTAGTCCAGTCAATACTGATCACATTAAACTTCTGGAATCCTCTAGGACTATACTGTAATAGTTTGAAAGAGTTCTGTTTTTTAAATGCTTTTGACTGTCTTCACATAACGCTAGCTTACTTCCTCAAGATGCCTGTTATTACTTTACGTGTACGTATGTGAGGGGACAACTAATTAAAAATCTAATTAAAAACAAAAATAGACAGCCGCCTTCAGATCATCTTGGTTTGCAATAATTTGCCACTTTCAGACACAATTGGCTGCATTCAGATGTTGCATTGAAACGGTAGTTTAGCGCAAAGTGAAGGAGCTTGGCCTTCTTGCAGGCTTTCTCTAGTTGCTCCCCTTGCATAGCAAGTAAGAGGAGCTTGAATGCTTTTACATTTGGTTTCCCTTGAACAGGATTTCTTTGTGTCATGGTTTCTCAGTAATTCTGCTCAGTTTCAAAAGATTCCTTCTTCAGAACAAGGGATATGGACCTTTCTTATTAAACTTCTTATAGTTAGTGACAAACCATGATCCCAGCTCTTCCCAGTGGATGATGATGATGATGAATTCAATTTCTATACTGCCTTTCATAGGAAGATCACAGCGTGGTTTACAATATAAAAACACAAAAATACATACCATAATAACAAACGAACAACCCCCCCCCATAGTTTAAAAGACCATAGATTAATTTGCCAGAGGTCTAGGGCAGGGATGTCCAACCGGTCGACCGCGATTGACAGGTCAATCCCTGTATGATCGCGGGATCCCTGTTGATTGGAGAAAGAGAAAAACAATGGAGTGAAAGTCCCAGTCTCCCACCGCCCTTGCTTTGTTCCTCCGTCATGTCAAATGGGTGGTCTTTAATTGTTTTTTGCTGATGAGTTTGGATACGGAAGTAGTCGTTTCCGCTGCGTTGTTGTTTTAGCTGAGCGAGTCCAACCCCTAAAAAAAAGCTAAACATCTATGGCTCTCCCCCCCTAAAAAAGCTCAACAATTCCCCCCCCCTAAAAAAACAGTCAACAACTTAGACTCCCCCCCCCAAAGAAAAACACAACAACTTTGGCTCGCCCCCCCCCATGGGTAGATCACTTCCAGTATTTTTATACTGGGAGTAGATCACAGTCTCTTGGGAGTTGGACATGCCTGATCTAGGGGAAGAGGAATATTTTCACCTGGCATCTAAAGATATTTAATGAAGGTGCCAAGTGAACGTCCCTGAGCAGAGCATTAAACAAGTGGGGAGCCACCACAGAAAGGCCCTCTGGACCTCATGGAGGAAGCACACAAAGAAGAGCCTCAGACTATGATTGCCTGGTCTAGGTTGGTTCAGATGGGGAGAGGCAGTTCTTGAGGTATTATAGGGAACACACGGGACTGGGAAAGAAGGCTAGTCTTGTCCATGTCATGCTAAACTGTGTTTTAGTGTTACGTCTGAATGTTGCCAGTGACAAACGATGGTGGGTCAAAGCAGGAAGTAATTAAGCTGTGCATATTGCGGCGTGGCTTCGCAGAAGATTGAAGCTAATTCTTGAGTCTCCACACAGTGGATTGACATTTAAAATATGAAGTGTAATTTACTATCAGTTTCTGCATTATCAGGTTTGTAGAGGGAATTTCAGATAGATAAGCATGGGAATTTTAAATATATATATAAATGCGATCCAAAGATAACAGTGCTAACTTTAAAAGGGTGATGTCAAGATAGGACTTGGAAGTGATTAGTGGCTCTACTGTAACACTGAAAGTCAATGTAGCTTATTCCCATAAATCTCTTCCAACAGCTAGATGAGCACTTTTCGTCCAACTCAATCTATAAATACCCACCACTTAGGATTTAAGCACAAATCATACCCTAGCATGAATAATTGAATAATGATGTATGCATGTATTATGAAGCTGAGAGCTTGTTCATAGTTCTTCATGTTCTGTAAGAAAATGATTGGCAATTGGAAATAATTTTTAAAATCTTAGCGACAACGAGCTCTTGTCTTATATTACGTTATTACATAATTGAGTGCTGGATTATCACAACCACAGGAACATGAGAATCTGCTTTATACTGAGTCAAACCATTCATCCATCTAGCCCAGTATTTGTGTACATAGACTGATAGTGGCTCTCCAGACTGGAATCTCTCTCCCAGCACTGACTTTATGAATGGAAAACAGATGTGTGATTGCCAGGCTGCAGCCCTTTCCCTAAATGTTGTGCCCTTTGAAACAAGGGGCACTTTCTGGTAAACTTTTCAGAAACAATGTCCTGGGAACAACCAAGCTATGCTTATCATACACGAAGCAAACTATCTCCTAATGAAGAAATATATTACATGCCTTATAAGTATGATATTTTGGGAGCAGGTCTGGTAGTTTTGTAGGCGGTGTAAATGGCTTATTTCAGATTCTGTTTTTAAATAATTATTTATCGGGTATGGTTATTTTACCCCTTTATCCAGTTACATTTGAAGAGCTGTATTTTTTTTATTCTTCAGTTCTTAAATACTATTACTTGAATGTCTAGTGTAGGTAGACATATGAAAAAGCAGGCTGTTTCTGCATTAGTCTTTGATGTGTGTGCCTAGGAAAAATGTGATATGTCAGTTTTCTAAAACACAATCAATTGATGCTTCCTGAAAGCACTTAGAGGACCTGCTTCATTGATTTTGTAAGTGGTCTCAATACTCCAAAATTAGTCCTGCATCAACAAATACATAGCAAATACTTGCAGCAGCAGTTCAGGGAGCTCCCCTTAGGTTGATGTTCATTGCTGCTTCTGGTATTTCTATTTTAATACTTATTCCTTACTATATACTGCTTTAAAATCCCCCTATGTTTCTGTTGCGGCTTATCATGCGGTTTGGGGTCTGAGTTGCTCAAGGGGGAAATCAAAAGCTTTGTTGTATATTGCAGCGCTAGGCAAACAGTTCTCTGGGTTGTGACTCAGGGCTTCAGCTTGGGGAGAGATTGTGGCAGAGAACATGTTTTGCAGATTCAGCCTTTAGCTGTTCCAGTAAAAGGATATTTGGTAGACACTTGACCTGAGTGTCTATAAGGCACCAGTGTGTAATGTTCATGTGCCTGGCAGGGAAAAATAGATTAAAAATATGTATTGACCCTGCCTCCCCATGGTGTTTAAGGTCACTATTTGAAATGGTAAATAAAACTGAAGTCCAGTAACAAATATTGTCTATATAGGTAAGACTGATGTTAATCTCTAAATCAGTTCTTGTCTCTTCCAGTTAAATTATTCGAGGTAATTGAAACCGAAAAAACGCTCTACTTAATCATGGAGTATGCAAGTGGAGGTAAGTACAAAACTATTTCAAACCAAATAGGATTTTAAAAAATCAAGTGATAAACTATATATAATGTTTATGTTTGGAAAAAATAATAATAACATTTCAAAACCACCACTTATACTCTCTGCATAATAAATGTAAGAGCATGTAAATATTTGCAGACTTCAGCAAGAGCTTACTGCCCTTGTTGTTATCTTGAAGCAGTAAGTTAGTCATATGGTCAGACTCCAAAAATTCCAGTTAGTTGCCTTGTACCTTCAGTGGACACTTGTACTATTGATTTGCTTTTCTCAGTCTAAGAGAGAGAGAGAGAGAGAGAGAGAGAGAGAGAGAGAGAGAGTGTCTGTATTCGTGTTTTATAATCTGGAAGGCCCTCAGAGTGGTGTACAAAATAAAGCAACACAAAGTGTTCCACATTGAAGCCAGGTGTATCAATTTTCTTTTAACATAAGGTATACATTTTCCAAAAATATAATCTACATATGCAAAACTACATGGACCATAGTGCTAACTTTACCAACTGCAGACATGTTGATGTCAATATATATTTTTTCAGCATTTCTTTCAGTGTTGCATAATTAAACAATATGAAAGGGAAAACAAATCCAGATCCCTTTATATTCCCTGGATGCATGTATCAGTGTAAAGTAGAGACTAGCACTTTAAAACAACCAGGTGAAAAATACAAAGGTTTTAAGCGAACAGAAAATGCAGAGCACTGCTGCACAACATGTGACCTACCGAGCCAAACACAGCCCTCCAGCCATATGTTGTGACCTTCCAAGTGCTTAACAATTGTACTATTTTTGCCACAGCAAAATGGGAGGTGGGCTATGGCTGATGGGCTGTATTTAGCTCAATGGATTGTGAGTTAAAGAAACTTGACATAGAGTTTCTCCCTTTCCCCTCCCCCCAAAAGAGAGGAAAAAACAAGTGAAGCTTCTGTGCAGCATTTCACTGTTGATTCAAAGCAGGCCTTTTGGCATCTAGGGAAACCTGGAACTGTTAGCCTTTCCCAGGCCAGATTCATGCCATCTCTGTAATTTTTAAAGGCAATTTTGACTTACCTTTGGCACTGGAGAGGAATTATGTAGTGAATAGGTGTGCAAACTTCTGCCCCCTCAGTTTGATGGAACTACTGGTAGACTAAATAGTGAGATCTTATTGCATGAAGCAATCCAAAGACCTTTAAAAAACCATTGGAGAAACTGCACTTGGTCCAAAATGTGCTGACGAGATCAGACCGTATACCTCCAATCTTTTACCAGCTACATTGGTGCTTGTTTCTGGACTCAACTTTAAGTGTTGTTGCAGACCTTTAAAATATTTAATGACCTGGGAACAAATTATCCCAAGGTTGGCCTCTATAGGAACCTGCGTAAGTCATGAGGTCAGCTTTAGAGGAGGAAGGATGGACAAGAGAGAGAAAAGAGTGTGTTCTTTGTTATGGTGCCAAAACTGAGGAATATTATTGCTGCCTGGTGGAGATCTATCAGGCCCCTTCTCTTCTCGTGTCTAGATGGGTTTTGAAAACGTATTTTAAAAGGTGTTCAGTGCTTTATGCTCTGCTTAAGTTTTGTTTTAGTCATGCTGAAATTACAGTTTTTAAAATTAGATTGTTTTTACATTTGCTATGTTGGTTGTTTTACATTTTGTTCTGAATTATTTGTGAACAAACAGTTATTTGATACATGATGCAAAAACTGAGTGTAAATGATAAAATCATGTGATGATATAAGCAGAGTATAAATGGTACAATTATTTTTTATCATATCAAATTGATAATAATAATCATATGCTGCCTGCTCTCGATCAGGTTACACTCCCTCTGAAGGAGTGGGTTCGCAGCTTGGGGGTGCTTCAGGATCCTATGCTGTCACTTACGGGTCCGGTAGTCTCAGTGGTGCAGAGTGCTTTCCATCAGCTTCCGCTGGTGGCCCAGTTGCACCCCTACCTGGAAAGGGATAGCCTAATCTCTGTTGTCTCTGTTCTGGTAACATCTAGGTTAGATTACTGCAATGCAGTATACATAGGGCTGCCTCTGAAGACCGTTCAGAAACTTCAGCTGGTGCAGAATTTGGTAGCCAGGTTGCTCACAAGGGCAAGGTGGTTAGAGCATGTTGTTGTTTAGTCGTTTAGTCATTTCCAACTCTACATGACCCCATGGACCAGAGCACGCCAGGCACTCCTGTCTTCCACTGCCTCCCGCAGCTTGGTCAAACTCATGTTGGTAGCTTTGAGAACACTGTCCAGCCATCTCGTCTTCTGTCGTCCCCTTCTCCTTGTGCCCGCAATCTTTCCCAACATCAGGGTCTTTTCCAGGGAGTCTTCTCTTCTCATGAGGTGGCCAAAGTATTGGAGCCTCAGCTTCAGGATCTGTCCTTCCAGTGAGCACTTAGGGCTGATTTCCTTCAGAATGGATGGGTTTGATCTTCTTGCAGTCCATGGGACTCTCAAGAGTTTCCTCCAACACCGTAATTCAAAAGCATCAATTCTTCGGCAGTCAGCCTTCTTTCTGGTCCAGCTCTCACTTCCATACATCACTCCTGGGAAAACCATAGCTTTAACTATACGGACCTTTGTTGGCAAGGTGATGTCTCTGCTTTTTAAGATGCTGTCTAGGTTTGTCATTGCTTTTCTCCCAAGAAGCAAGCGTCTCTTAATTTCATGACTGCTGTCACCAGCTGCAGTGATCATGGAGCCCAAGAAAGTAAAATCTCTCATTGCCTCCATTTCTTCCCCTTCTATTTGCCAGGAGGTGATGGGACCAGTGGCCATGATCTTAGTGTTTTTTTATGCCGAGCTTCAGACCATATTTTGCACTCTCCTCTTTCACCCTCATTAAAAGGTTCTTTAATTCCTCCTCACTTTCTGCCATCAAGGTTGTCATCTGCATATCTGAGGTTGTTGATATTTCTTCCGGCAATCTTAATTCCACTTTGGGATTCACCCAGCCCAGCCTTTTCTCATGATGAATTCTGCATATAAGTTAAATAAGCAGGGAGACAGATGAGGTGATCAGGCACTCCCATTTCTTTAAGAACCTGCCATAGTTTGCTGTGGTCAACACAGTCAAAGGCTTTTGCATAGTCAATGAAGCAGAAGTAGATGTTTTTCTGGAACTCTCTAGCTTTCTCCATAATCCAGCGCATGCTTGCAATTTGGTCTCTGATTCCTCTGCCCCTTCTACATCCAGCTTGCACTTCAGGGAGTTACTGGTCCACATCCTGTAGAATTTTAAGCATAACCTTGCTAGCGTGTGAAATGAGTGCAATGAGTGTAGTTAGAGCATTATTTGGCACTGCCCTTCTTTGGGATTGGGATGTAGACTGATCTTCTCCAATCTTCTGGCCACTGCTAAGTTTTCCAAACTTGCTGGCATATTGAGCGTAGCACCTTAACAGCATCATCTTTTAAAATTTTAAATAGTTCAGCTGGAATATCATCACTTCCACTAGCCTTGTTATTAGCAGTGCTTTTAAGGCCCATTTGACTTCACTCTCCAGGATGTCTGGCTCAAGGTCAGCAACCACACTGCCTGGGGTGTATGAGACATCCATATCTTTCTGGTATAATTCCTCTGTGTATTCTTGCCACCTCTTCGTGATATCTTCTGCTTCTATTAGGTCCTTACCACTTTTGTCCTTTATCATGGTATAATAAAGGTTTGAGCATATCACACCGATACTGGCCTGGCTGCCAATTAATTTCTGGGCTCAATTCAAAGTGTTGTTTTGACCTATAAAGCCTTAAATGGTTCAGGACCACAATAAACTCATTTTGGATTTTTGTTTGTGAACTGCTTGTGATTTTCGGATAAATGGCGGCATACAATTATTTATTTAGTAAGTAAACAGTAGAGCATAGAATCTGTGTAAGGGCTCATATTCACAAATGGTCTTATAAGTTGTTTGTATGCCAAAGTACACCAAATTCCCATTTCTACCACCACCCCAGTTTACACTGTTTTGATTATACCCATTTAAATCACATGAAGAGATTGAAATGCTGGCACAGAGTTATATATTCCATGAGCATTATAGGTGTGTGGATGGAACCAGTGTAGTGTTATATCTAATTCCCATGCCACGTCACTATTGCAAAAGAGCTAAAATCATTCTGTAGAGATGCTGAAAGACAAGTCTGCAGGGTGAGTTGTCAGGGGCTACATCTAATATCACTGTCTGAGAATTTCCTGCCTTGGTTGTCTGATTCGGAATGAATCACTTACTGTGTACTGTGACTGTAGTCTTTTAGCATGTATTTTTAATTGGTTCCTCTGACTGGTTTCATTAATTAAAAGCCTTAGAAATAGAATGTGTGATGGTTGTGTGTCACTGATAAAAGCTTTTAAAAAATTCTTTCTGAAAGTAATAATATTTATCATATGTTTGTTCCTACAAATCATCAAGCAGTAAGGAAGCCCTCCCTGTCAAACAAGATTTTAATAAGATAATATTTTTCTTCCCTGGAAAAACACATGCTACTCTGTTGACTACTTGATTAAAATTTCAAAACTTGGCAGCTATGTTAATCTTGTAATTTGCATATATCATGTGTTCATGCACACACCAAATACTTTTTTTTCCAAATTCTTGTATGTTTTGTTTCCTCTCATAAACTGCTGCTGCTATTAAGGTTCTGTTGTTCACAGTTGGGTAATGTTGTCATTAGGGCCAGCCTAAAAGTCACAAAAATATGGCAAGCTTTTGAATTCTCCAGAACGTGAAAATCCAATTCTCACAGTCAGAAATAAATTAGTTATTACTTAAATGCTCAAAAGATTTCACCATTCATATATCTCAATTACAGGGGAGGTGTTTGACTATCTAGTTGCACATGGAAGAATGAAGGAAAAGGAAGCAAGAGCTAAATTTAGACAGGTATGTATGGGCTATTCTGTACTAGACTTTTAAATGTTTTAAGTTAATTAGCATTTTTCCCAGTCACTGATTGCTCTCCCTCCTGGAAGGAGTGTTGATGTTGGGAAATACTAGCAAAATTGGCCCAATTAGCAAATACTTTCACATTCATGCTGAAGCCACATTGGATTATCTATCACTACAGGGAAGTCGCACCTACATTATTCAGTGTGTGTATGAAAATGAAGCCCTTGACAATTTTATTGTGACACACACACACTTCCTGGGAAGTATGTTGCATTGAAATCAATAAGGATAAACTCCAAGTAAAGGTGTTAAGATAGAGGTGCTAAGTTTTAGTCTCAATCTTGGTTTCGAGGGCAAGCACAAACCATAGTTTGCTGGCTAGTATGTAACAACAGACTATGGTTTGCACAAAATGAAGGAATTTAATCAGACTGTGTAAGGGTAGGTACATGAAAACGAGGGTAATTCACATAGTGCCAAGCCATGGTTTGGTGTTATGTCTGAAGCCATTATTTTTTATAACAAGTTTGCAGTGGAATAAAGGGTCATGAATTGGAAACTGCTCAAAGAAAGCAAGTATTGGCTGCAGAACAGCTTGTCCTTGATTTGAGTTCCTCCTGTTTCAAACTGCAAGTCTGCTGTTCCTCTTTCTCATCCGCCCCCTGCTCCTATTCTCTGTTGTGATTCTCACTGTTCATCTTGCAAACCAATCTGCTGTGAAAGCGCAGAGGGAAAGTAGCTTAACTTTTGATCTATTACTCAGACAGTTGGAAGCAGAAGAGATACCTGTTACAGTTAGAAATGAACCTTTTCTTAAAGAGATTTGAGATCCTTGTGAGATTGACTGTCAGGATGTTAACTTGCCTGTCTGTGTCATTATGTGTATTCTGAACCCTGATGTTGAGAACAGGCTTCTGATTTAGTGAAATTTCTTGGTGAAATTTACCTCTCGTTCTGTTTGTGTCTGGCGGCACTCTTATAATATCTTCAAGTTGCATAGTAGAGTTTTGGCACATGCATGGAAATGGGCGATAATTGAGTGTTGCGGGTAAGCAATAGGGCATGCCATGTTTTGAGTCAACAGTAAGAGCTGGAAAAATCTTAGGGATTTTCATAAGCATCACTTATAAGATGTCTATAACTTGTCGCATACTGTCTGTCTGACTGTTAATCTTGTTTACCATACAGAGAAACCATAACAATCTGCTTGAAGGGTAACAGTAGCCTAAGTAAGTAATAGGCTTGCCTTCAATTGTCACTTTGACTCTCATCCTAAATGCACTTTTTTGAATAATTCTTATTGATTTCAGTAAGAGTTACCCACAATTAAGTGTGCTTAGGCTTGGAGCTTTTGGTAATTTTGTTACTCATAATGGGCATTATATTGACTTTATAATTGCTTCCCAATTTTAGCAACTCCTACTAAAACCTATTATTGCAATACTGTTTGTCTGATATATGTCACTTTATATAATTGAGCCTGTTTTCTATCCAGATAGTATCTGCAGTGCAGTATTGCCACCAAAAGCATATTGTTCACAGAGATCTCAAGGTAAGAAGAGAAACACAAGATTTTGTATTTGAACATTATTAAATATTTTTATACTCTGTTTTGTTCCCAGATTAATACCAATTTTCCTTGTTCTTTACTGGAAAAGTAAAGGATGAATTTCTGTGATGAATTTTGACTACTAGTTGGCATGTGAAGAGTACAATACCTACCATGTTAGTTACTGCAGGCTAGTATATTATTAAGGCTGAGGGTAATAGTTTGAGAAGTAGAAATGATTTATGGTAGTAAATAGACTCTGCTGTAAGTACAGATTTTGCTAGCTCAATTCTCACTTTCAGGTTTGCATGGGTCATGGTGAAAGAGATTATTATTATTATTATTATTATTATTATTATTATTATTATTTATTAAATTTGTACACTGCCCTTCTTCTGAAGATCACAGGGCGGTTCACAACATAAAAATGCAAAATGAGAACACAAAATACATAATAAAAACAAAAATCAAATCAATAACCCTCCTGCCAGAAACACACTTAAAATGACATAGAATGACTCAGGACTGCAAGGACCGCCTCTCTCCATATGAACCTACCCAGACCCTGAGATCATCCTCTGAGTCCCTTCTTTGTGTGCCTCCTCCATGAGAGGTCCGGAGAGTGGCAGCACGAGAACAGGCCTTTTCTTCAGTAGCTCCCTGCTTGTGGGATGCTCTCCCCAGGGAAGCTTGCCTGGCACCTTCATTACGTATCTTTAGGTGTCAGGCCAAAACATTCTTCTTCTCCCTGGCCTTTGGCTGATTGACTTCTAATGCCCTTTTAAAATGTGTTGTGGAAGGGGGGATTATTTGGTTGTCTTTTTAATTTTAATTTTGTATTTTATATTTTATATTGTGAACTGCCCTGAGATGAACCCCCATTTCATGGGATTATGTTAGTTGCTTACTTCCCTTGGTTCACAGCTCCACCTTCTTTGGGGCTTGCACCCGTTCTTGGTGTATCACAAAATCCGTTTATTTGTATATTTGAACCAGTTTGAACCCACTTTTCATTAAAATGAATCCCAAGAACAGGTTGCAAGGAAAACTCATAAAACACACCCAATGATACAAATCTAAAAACTAATCAAAATTATCACAGATTGATCAAAATGAGGGAGGACAGGCGCTATTTCCAACCCATTTAACCAAATTCCCAATTGAATAGAATAGAATTGTTAAAAGGCACCCCAAATCCACCAGAACCTGCACTGATTAAATATGTGAGCGTAGCCTCTCGTGGCTCCCCTTCCCTTTTTCAAAGGTTGCTTTTCAAAAGTTGCCTTGGCTGTTTCACTTAATCTCTCCCTGCTGAATGCCTCCATCACTTCTGTCTGCCCTACACATTTAGTTTCCTCACCACTGCCAAACACCTTTGCCATCATGAACAGTAAACCCAATTTCCACAACTGGAGCAGGTTGAACTGTCTAAAACAATTTTGTATAACTCACTGTCAATTTTCTACTTAAAAAAAGAAAAAGAGCTCTGCTTACTATATTACAATAAACCGGGTTCCTTACTAAAGAGAAGGATCTGTTATAAACAAAACATTTTTTTATTGTCTCTTCTGAAAAGCTGGCTGTACTTAATGTAAGTGAGCAAGTCAGCAAACTCTTTAAGACACATGCTAGTATGCCTGACTATATGAATTGGATCTTGAAGGACTTAGACTAGAAGAAACTGTTCGTTTCCAGGGAGGGAAATCTCACGTCTTACTCTGTTGTTCCCCTCCAGGCTGAAAATCTGTTGCTTGATGCAGACATGAACATTAAAATAGCCGATTTTGGTTTTAGCAATGAGTTTACAGTTGGAAATAAACTGGACACATTTTGTGGCAGTCCTCCATATGCTGCTCCGGAACTCTTCCAAGGCAAGAAGTATGATGGACCTGAAGTAGATGTTTGGAGCTTAGGCGTCATTCTTTACACTCTTGTGAGCGGTTCTCTGCCTTTTGATGGGCAGAATCTAAAGGTACGCACCTAATTTATGCTTAAAGGGTGGGAGGAGGATGGGGAGTTCCTGGACTGTCATTTTTTTTATGGCAATACTTAATAGCACACCTGTAATTTCCTATTTGGTGTGTGTTTTGATTAAAGGAACTGAGAGAAAGAGTGCTGAGAGGGAAATACAGGATTCCATTCTACATGTCAACGGACTGTGAAAACCTACTGAAACGTTTCCTGGTGCTAAACCCAACTAAAAGAGGCACTCTTGAGGTAGTATTATCTTCCTCACCATTATAATATTGTTTCGCCACTTTATACAGTAATTTCTAAGCAGTGTACAATTAGGGGTTTGCGAGGGACATAATAGGGATAGTTATGCCTTTTACAGATGAATTGTTTCCTCTTGGTCCTCTCTAATGGTTTCCCCCAGTTGAAAGAACGGTACATTTTGGAATTGCAGGGAAATGGTGCATTAAGCATGGTGCATCATTCCAAGTGCATTAAGCCTCATCTGTGGTGGCCAGACAGTGACTTGCTCAAACCCACACACAAAAGCTACCTCGACATTGCCATTGGTCTAAATGGAAGTGTTCATAGCATCATCCCATTGTATTGTACCGAAGAAGCACGTCATGCTACTCTTCAGTTGGATAGAAGTCAGGATATTGTAATGACTCATGATCTCTTCTCTTGGGGCAGCTCGAGGCTGCTGTGATTGTTATGGAGGTGCGGTGCTCCACCTAGAGGACGTTCTTCACATTAAGCAGAACTTGGAAGTCCCACTAGCTCTCTTTCATTAGACCTACCTAACGTTGGCAGATCATGAAACGTACGTTGGTGTCAGTACACACTTTATGAACTGACGTTTTGGCTACCAACCACATTCTGGGATTTCTGATGCTGCATTTTATTACCCAAATTATATATAAAGGTAATATATGACCATTAGGTCCAGTCGTGACCAACTCTGGGGTTGCGGCGCTCATCTCGCTTTACAGCTTCCGGGTCATGTGGCCAGCATGACCTAAGCTGCTTCTGGCGTACCAGAGCAGCGCACGGAAACGCCGTTTACCTTCCCGCCGGAGCGGTACCGATTTATCTACTTGCACTTTGACGTGCTTTTGAACTGCTAGGTTGGCAGGAGCAGGGACCGAGCAACAGGAGCTCACCCTGTGCGGGGATTAGAACCGCCAACCTTCTGATCAGCACGCCCTAGGCTCTGTGGTTTAACCCACATACATATATTTATATTTGAGAAAATAAATTTTATTAATTAAAAGTATTTATATGCCCCCTTTGGGGGCCTAGTCCACCCATGGTGACTCCCATACAAAGCATCATATCAAGTGGTTGAATAAAAGCCATATCCTTTAAAGCTGGGTTATCAAGATGAAGAACAGTTTAGTATGGGCTGTTGACTGAATAATAGTTAATATTCAGTTAGTAATATTCAGTATTAGGTATAGAAACGCTTTAAACATGTTACTCCTTTTAGTGTGTGTGTGTTTTCTCATCTATGGCTTCTTTTGTTAAACATTTTTACATTTTCATTTTTTTGAGCACTTTTCCTAGTACTGGTCCCAGTGGAGCACTCCCCTCCATCCTCATATGTCCCCTAGAGTTGTTTTTGCCCAGGCTGACAGCAAATAGGACGGCTTACACAGCACTTGTTAGTCGCTTAGTTATCCCTTTTTTAAAAAAAACCAAAACATAAATTATCTTTTTGCATACTGCTCTTCATCAGAAAAAAACATCAGTTTTCAAAAGAATTTTTTAAAAAGGAAAAAAAGAAATGTGAAATGTTGTATTTAGTATTAAACTAAATTCTTGCTCTAATGCAAGAGCACTTCTGTGGCCTCTCCTGCCACCGTACACATGCGTCCTGTGTTGTTCCCAACTCTTCTCCGGGGGGGGGGCGTGGAGCAACCCCCAGAACAGATTTAGGCATGTGCAGAGGGAGCGGAGAACCTTCCGTTGCACAAGGTGAAATCTTTGCATTGATCACTGTAGCACTACATTTGAGTACAAACCCAATAAAAACAAAATGCAGTATATGAAACATCAAAGTCTGTAACACGGGATTCCACTCAATATCCACATGAATTCCACATCTGCTAGCACACCTGTTCCTCAGTCAACCTGCACATGCACACTGTCACCCAGGCACAGCACACAGACTTCACGGGTACCAGTCCTAACAATCTCTCAAGTACATATACAAGAAACCACACTAGGCCACTGACAACCTAACACTGTGAGGCTAAAACCAAACTTAATCCAGGACTCCACCAACCCCAATAAAACCTCACACTTTTCACCCAAACACTCATCCACAATCAAGCTCTCTCCAGCCACCAGCTCCTACCCGTGAAGTAGTCAGAATTAACCTCTCTACCAGCTGTCCAACACAGTTATCCTGAACAGCATCGAGCATCACCATACTCAGTCAGCACAACCATAATATGAGAGAAATTATATTAGAGGGGTTTTAACAAACAAACCCCCCCTTTGGTAGAGGCAGAGTAAATAAGGGGTGTAAAAGGTAGGTGTCTTTTTTATACAAGGTAGTTTATTTGCCTTCACTTAAGCAGCTCAAAAATCTTAAGCTTTGGCCTTGACTACAGATCTCTGTTACTGGTAATACTCATTCAAAACCTATCTTTGCAGCAAATTATGAAGGACAGATGGATCAATGCAGGGCATGAGGACGATGAACTTAAGCCTTTTGTTGAACCAGAGCTAGACATCTCGGACCAGAAGAGAATAGGTAAGCAGAAGATGGAAGATCACCAGCATACATACTTAATAATGACAAACGGTGTGGATTGTGGCTCAACACCTTATTGCTTGCTTAATTGCTCAAATTTAGATCTTGGCTAACGATGTCTCCCATCGCAAGGTGTTAAATTTGTTCCATTATTAAGTAGTAATTTTGTATGACTGCTCAAGCTAGTAAAACATGGTATATTTAAGAAAACTTTCAATTTATTCTAGACATTATGGTTGGAATGGGATATTCTCAAGAAGAAATACAAGAATCTCTTAGTAAAATGAAATATGATGAAATCACTGCTACATACTTGCTACTGGGGAGAAAATCATCGGAGGTGAGTAAAATGCTCAAACCATGGCTGAGAACTGGCTTGTACCTCATGATAACCAATGCTCTATCATGTTGGGAATGAGTTGATAGCAAGCATTGAGCCTCACCTTCCCCTTTCTTCGTTCATCACAGATGCAAGGAGGAGGTTAGAAGTAGAAGCTTCTAATCTCCTTGCAGCTGCACTGGAGGATGAGAGGAGCAAGCATCTGAGGTTTATTGTGGCCCACTCCCATCATAGTAAACCATGGTTTATTATTATGTCCACATTTGCCCACAGACCTAGATGTAAAGAAGAAACCTGGTTTGGTTCTTCAAGCATCTTGATATACATGAGGTAGCTTATTATTGACTCTTGCAGTCATCTTACCTCTCTCATCAAGCTGCCAGGTGCTTAATATTTTCCCATTCTTCTATTTTTGACCCAGGACCATTCTTAATGCTTCCGTTCTATTTTAAGACTGACCTAGAACCTAGTTGAACAAGAACTTCTCGCCTCTAGGTTTGGCAAGGTTAGGGCAACTCTTAGACTTGCACCATAAGTCTGGGTCCTCCGAATTTATGGAACTCCCATCAAGCATGTTGCTGGCAAACTGAAGATAATTGAAGTGTCTGTGGAAGGAAATGTTTAGACTTCCGATAATACGTACAGTCTTGGGCCTGGAGTGACTGGGTCCAGATTCAGCAAGCTGCATTGTCAACTTAGGTCAGAGGCAGTGAATATATTTAACATATTTCTGCCCCATTTTTTAGCATAACTCCAGTGAGGTGCTTTAAATGCTTTCTCAAATTGTATTTACTTCAACTTACTGCTCTTGCATTCTTAGGTTTGAAGAGAGTTGTTGCCACAGGGTAACCACTATAGTAATATTTTAGTTAACATGACTTGTAGACCTGTGAACAAGTGAAGGCAATAAATGACACATGCTCCTTATTGGCATTCATGCTGTTCTGGTCAGTTGAAAGTTACACATCATTTAAGTGAGTAGTGTGCATGACTTGCAATATTTTGTTTAGTGGTGACTGGGCTGCAAGACAAAGCACTCTGACAGATGGTTCTTTAGAAGCATCCTTTTATTGATTAAATTTCAGCCCGTTAGAGAAAAATGCAGTACATCACACTTGATCTTAGCCAAAAGGCTTTCAGGCTAAAGCACTGCCACATTCTTTGCCTTGTTCTTCAGTACAGTGAAAACATGGTCCCCAAGTTCTGAAAACCAACCCTATTTTTTAAACCTTTTTATTTTGTTTCTCTTGGTGAGTTAGCAAACTCTGAAGAATGTCAGGTTGACTAGGTCTATAGAGAGCTGCTTTCTTCTGAATGCCCCATTGCTGTCAACCCCTAAGTGCAGCATCTCTCCAGGGTGTCAAGGAAAGGAATTTCCTATCCATGCTCGTGAAATTCTTTAATGGGAGGTGCTAGGAGGTTAGCCTGAGACACCTGAGATGCACACAGTTCTCATCAGTGCTGCTATGATGCTGCCCCCTGTGCTTCATGGGCAGGGAATGTTCAGTTGCCTCCTGTTATGAGAAGTTTTAAAAGAATCTGTTTGCTCATGTCTTTAGCTTTTCCCTCTCATGTGTTGACTAATTTCCTCAGCTCATTCATCTTCCCATTCAAATCCACAAAGCAGGTAACTTGGTTGTACTTTGCCCTGTAGACACAAGGAGTGTTGGATTTCAAGCTCCCTTTGTTATGTTTGGGGCCACAGAACTAATAATGCAAACTTTCCCCCTGTCTGCTTCTGTTCAGTTGGATGCCAGCGACTCAAGTTCCAGCAGCAACCTTTCGCTTGCAAAAGTCAGGCCAAGTAGTGATCTCAACAACAGTACTGGACAATCTCCCCATCACAAAGTGCAGAGAAGTATATCTTCCAGCCAGAAGCAGCGACGGTACAGTGACCATGGTAAGCTGCCTTCTCATTATTTGGGAACTCTTGCTGCAGAAAGACGATTGCAAGCTACCTTTTCAGAGAGTCTCTCTAAAACAGCCTTTCCCAAGCTTGGATGACCCATGATTGGGGAAGGCTTCTCAAAAAGCTAAAGAAAAGTTTGTGTTGAGGATGAAGAGTTCAGCATATGCTGAACCATGAGAAGTTTTAATTTGGGATTGAGAGACCAATTCTATGCCCCAACTGCTGTTATTGCAGATCTTGGTAATGCTTTGAGATAACCAGTTTCAAACATTCTTGCCGTGTAAATTCTAAAGTGAGACAAAGGGTAGCCAGTTAGATACTTGGTGTGGTCCTGTTCTACTGTGATAAGTATTTTGGCTAGTTATGCCACCACCACTTGATCAAATACTCATGGCAAATTGAAAGGACACTTGTTACAGAGAGTGATGGTTCTTTCAGAAGTTAAGCTATCAGTCCTCTCCCAATTGCCCATGTCATCTCTAGTTTCACTTCAGAGAGTTTTCCCCTGCCAGTAATGGCTATCAATGAAAATGTCTACATTGTATTTGCAGATATATTTCATAGAACTGTAAAGAGATGCTAGACATATATTTCAAATATCTAGGAGCTATCTTCAGATACTTCAGCAACTTCATATGTGGGACTTATCCAGATGTATTTGTATGGGATTTGACCCACCCAGAAATACTTAAACCCTTTCTCCCCTCACCCTCCCGCAAATTGAAGAGCTCTAAAGACTGCCTAGCATCTCCAATTCTCACTAACTTTTTGAGTGTCCTGGTAAAAGGGAGACCCTATTACTTCTCATAGGTTTGGTTTCTGTTGGCGATACTGACCAAGAAACTTCTTCGGCAGGCAATAATTTATTCCAGAAGAAATTATTTTGTTCTGCCATGTGGATCAGTTTCATTGAGACCTTTAACTAGGTGGTTTCAGTATGTGGTTGTTTTTTTTTACATAGAAGGCTCCCTCACCTTGATAGCAGCCTATCATTAATAAGTTACTTTTAGCCAGCTGCAGGAGGTTTTTCTGGAATGCTTAGCTTTGTATTGTACATTGGTGGCAAAGATGACACCCAAAATTTGTGGTAATCTACAAACTACAAACCTACTTAAGGGATATTTTGTAAATCTTCCAAAAAAAAAAAAAAAATCAGAATGTGGAGTGTCACAAATAAACATGTTAAATTACTCCTAAGTATGTAGTGTTAAATACTCATTTTAGACTTTTCATTTCCCCCACATTGCTCAGTGCTTTCTGGCAAAAATATTTATATCACACAACTACAGGTTTGGTTGGCTCATGGGTTGCTTTTCCTTATCAGTTTAATCACGTGTGCTCGCTTTGCCAGTACACCCCCTGGCATTCATAGTTGTTCTAGAGAAGACTTAATTAAGTATCTTGTGAAATTTCTTAGAAAAAGCACAAAAGCCCCTTCTTTCTATCCTACTGTGTTTGTGTGTGTTTGTCTTTGTTTTCTTTTTGACACTATTAGGTCAGCCTGTATATAAAAGAACTTGGGGGACTGGGTGTTCAACAGTATTTCTTTGAATTTCCTCTCTCCTGAGCGGCTGTCATCTCTTCAACAAAGTCTACTAGTTATGCAGAGCAGCAACACACAGGCGTTTGCCTTGTATGACCTAGTAAAAGCAACCTTCTACTGAGCTGAATGCACTGCAAAGTTTAACTGCAACCTGAAAAGGGGCAGCTTTTTCTCATGGAGTCTGGCTTGAAGTAGGCAAGCAAAAGTTTGAAGTTTCAGCTTTATATGTTAGTGCAAAGATAAAGGCTAGCAACGTGGACCCGGGTGGCGCTGTGGTCTAAACCACTGAGCCTAGGGCTTGCCGATCGGAAGGTCGGCGGTTCAAATCCTCGTGACGGGGTGAGCTCCCATTGCACGGTCCCAGCTCCTGCCAACCTAGCAGTTCCCAGCGGGAAGGTAAACAGCGTTTCCGTGCGCTGCTCTGGTTTCGCCAGAAGCGGCTTAGTCATGCTGGCCACATAACCCGGAAAAACTGTCTGCGGACAAACGGCGGCTCCCTCAGCCAGTAAAGCGAGATGAGCACCGCAACCCCAGAATTGTTCGTGATTGGACTTAAGTCCTTTACCTTTTTTAAAGGCTAGCAAAGAGAACCAGAACTAAAACAGCCATCAAATGTACTAAAACATCATACGCAGAGACTCAAAATCAAATATTAAAAAGCCTGGGAGAACAAAAAAAAAATCTTAACTTGGCCCCAGAAGCACAACAATGTTGGTGACACATGAACTTCTCTAGAAAGAGCATTGCATACCTACAGGGATTTCTCTCTTGTAGACACCCTCTGAGCTTCAGGTAGAGGGGACCACATGATGAAGAGCCTCCATAGATCACCTTTGGGTATGGATAGGTACACCCAAGAGGAGGTGTTTCATTTGCTATAAGCCATATAGAACTTTATACTCAATACCAGTATCTTGAATTGGACATGGGAGCTAACTTGAAGCCAGTGCAGGTCAGAACAGACCAATGAGATGTGTTCATAACAACTGCTTTCCATTTAAAACTTGCTGCCTTACTTTGCACCAGCTGAAATTTCTGGACTTCCAGCCCTGTGTTCAGCTCACTACAGCAATCCGAACGCCTATCATGGATCATTGCAGCTAGGTTATCCAACTCCAGATAAGTTGGTAAAAGACACTCTGAGCCCTCAAGGTCCCTTGAGCCTCTAATGAAAAATGATGGATTCAAGGACACCCAAAGCTACATGCCAGATCACTCAGAGGGAGTATGACCTTTACTATAGCTTGAATCTCATGCATCTGGACAGCAGAACCACCTACTAATAGTGTCTCCAGCCATATTCAGGCATTCTTCTGAAAACATCAGAATTCCTCCTCGCGGGAGGGTTTCTATGTGTAATCAGTCATACATACTTTAAAACCCTCTTCAGACTTTGCACTACTTGTGCAAAGGCCTGAAGAGCAGCCCACGTTCTCTTTACTCTTTATACTGTCAACGTTGTATAAAACCGTATCTGTTAAACGCTTTTGATCATCACCACTGAGCTTCTTCATTGTTCTTTTTCATGGGTGGATCAAGGACACATACTGTTACTACTTTGCCTTAAGATATCTTGGAATCAAAACGTCTAATCCATTCTCTGTGTGTTTTTCAGCTGGTCCATCTGTTCCTCCAGTAGTGGCATATCCAAAAAGAAGTCAAACTAGCACTACAGACAGTGACCTCAAAGAAGAAGGTATCCAGTCTCGGAAATCCAGCAGCAGCACTGCTGGAGGAAGAGGAGTTGCTCCTGCTAGCCCTATGCTTGGGAATGCCAGCAATCCAAATAAGGCTGATATTCCTGAGCGTAAGAGAAGCTCTGCTGCACCCAATGTAAGTCATGGGATTCAAAAAAACAACAACCATAAAGAGCTTGTTTGCATGCACATCTTTCTCTTAGTTATCTCTTAGGCTTAATGTATCAGAAGTAGTTTATGGCATAGCTAATTTACAAGGTGTCCAACCATCAACTGTTCGTTGAGCATTTTGGAAGTGCTGCACAGTGGGCTTTGCAAAGTGCCTTTTGGCCTAGCCCTACCCTTACCTGCCTCGCACCTGATATCAGGTGTAGAACGAGTGGATGCACCTTGCCTGCACTGGCCTCGTGCTTGAAATGGAGAGGTCTGGCAGCTGAGATATTTTGCCCTCAGAATTGTATCTTGGGAGAGACTGGAATCAAGCTTCTAGCTTGCACACTCCCTTGCCTTCCGACCTCACCGTGGAGGGAAGTGAGCAATGTAATGGGAGGTCTCTCATTCGGATAGTTGTGGTCCCCCATTTCTCCCTGCAGCGACGAGAGTTTGTGAACCGTTCTGATTCCTGGTCTTTGTATGTCCCTTGGAAAGGTCCAGGAGGGAAAGTAACACCCAGAGAAGCACAGTATGTTCCCCCAAAGGCTCCTGAGGATAGCCTTACATGTGGGATGAGTCTTCCCTCTTACTGGATAGGCAGGGTCACATGCTCAAAGATCCTTGCTTGGGGGAGGAGCCATCCTCCGATCTCCAGTTTAGCCATGCCTTCCATTTGGAGAGTCCTGGATATTCAGCACACACACATGTTCCTTTGTTTTCTTTTTCTGTGTTTTTTACCTTATTTTCCTTGCTTGGATTTATCGTTGAGATCTCAGCGAAAGCATCTGGAAAGTAACACCCAGAGAAGCACAGTATGTTTCTCTGAGACTTTTCTGACTCAACCAGTCAAATCTATAAAGATATACGACAGCAAAAGTATTTTTCTTCCTTTTGAATCTGGCATAGTTTTGCCGATTGTAAATTCTGCAAGATGTCTGGGATCTTGATAAATTTAGTCAGGGGAAGTTGTTTAACAAGCCTTTGCTTGTGCCATATTGCAGGCAGTGGAAGATCCTATCATGCCTGAATTCCCACCCCTACCCCCTGGTCTAAAACAAATAAATTACTTTCTACCACCATATGCCGCATACCAGTTTTTATCTAGTTGCATTTTATATGTGTGTGTGTGTGTGCATGCACATACACTTGTGTCCACTACTATAGTTAATGGTGTATATCCGTTATATTTTCCTTTTCTGTTGTAGTACTAAATCTTCAAAGAACATGCACAGGATAATTGAGCATGCCCCATCTGTTTTTCTTTACACTTTTAATTAGCCGACTTTTTATCAAGGTGTTTTGCTTAGCCCTAGGACTTAGACAGAGACAACAGCTTTTGCAAGATTTCCCTCGCCAGTGAATGCTAGACTCAGTGACCTCCTTTCTTCTTGCAGCATTCCTTGAAACTTAGAGTGGGGGGAGGGGGGTGGTAATGGAATTGTCTGTTGCGTTACTAGTCCTTATTGGGATTTACCCCACTCTTGATTCACTGCACTGTTCAGGAGGGAGAGAGATCAACCCTTTCAAGCTCTCCCTGTTCCCTCTAAAGCCTTTCTCCTGATCATATGCTTTGTCTGTTTTCAGTGCTTCTTAACACTTTTTAAAAACCATTCTGTTATCCACTAGCTCTTCTGTCATTCCTGGAAAATTGACCACCGGCTTGGGCATATCTCCACACTCTTTCTCTGTAAAGACAGAGGCAAAGTAATTATTTAACTTTCTTTGTGCTCCTGCCCCCAAACAAAATGTCATTTTTGAGTGGGCTTGTGGTTCTCTTCCTCTGTGCGTATGTGTACATATTTGAAAACGTTTTGTCCAACTCTTCTGCTGTATATCCTTTCTATTCTTTGTTTTAACTGTGTTTTCCTTCCAGCCTTGCTTTTTTGTGTTAAGTTTTTGTTTCTGTTCCCAGTGAACCTAATAATAATATTTAAGAGTTGTGCCTCGGCGTCTGTTAGCCTCTGAATTGTATTCTTATTTGGCACATAGTTTAGTTGAAAAATCCTTTATTTCGGAAGAACCATATGATGTATATAAATAATTTGCATTTCCTTGAGTTCCAGTTTCCACATGAGTCGAGAGCTTATTCTAGTAAAAAGCTGAATTTGAGCTGACCCTGTTCAAATTCGTAATAATACGTAGCAGCTGAAATATGAACACTGGAACATCTTACATTCACAAGTAGCTGTAAGATAACTTGGAGCCTAAGCATAATCAAATAAACCTGCTTTTTTCTAATAAGATCCTGGGTGACCCTTTCTTTTCTTTTTGGAAATGGACAAATGTGTTCTTTCTTTTTTAGAACAACACTGCGCCTGGGGCCATGACGCGGCGAAATACATATGTTTGTAGCGAAAGAACAACCGCAGACAGACATTCAGTCATTCAAAATGGCAAAGAGAGCAGGTAAGGGTATTTTAGGGGAAAAGCTTTCCGTACTACAAAAGTCAGTTTTTCTCTTTATGGTACTTTTCAACAGACCTTCATCCTGCAGGCTATCAAAGAGGTGCAGAGATAATAAAAGCAAGGCAGCTACATAAATGTTAACCTGTGTTGAATTTTTTTCGGGTGCCATTTAACACTGGGAGCGTGTATGCAACTGTTTTTCTTCTGCAAACAGTAAGCATGAACAAAAGCTAAAACAGATGTGGTGAACCCTGAGATGTTTCTGAACTACAGTGCCCATCAGCTAGAGCATGCACCAGATAAACTCACTGCTTGACCTTAGAATAACCTTGATAAATCCTAACTTGACGTCCCTGAAAATAAAATGCAAAATGCATGATCCAGCCAATGCGAAGCACTTTAAATTCAGCAGATGTCAATAGAGATTTACACTGCAACCCTATGCATGTCTATTCAGAAGTAGGTCCCGCTGAGCTGAATGGAACTTATTCCTGGGTAAGATTAAATTTGACTGGATTATGCTGATGATTGTTTGTGAAGTCTGCAGAATCTATATGTAATATTGGTATGCTTGCTTCTGTTCAAAGCTCCCACTTGAGCTTTCTTTTAGTGTTGAGGCTTTTCCTGAAGCGGAAGGAAAGGAGGACAGCACCAAATATATATTCAGTGGTACCTCGGGTTACATATGCTTCAGGTTACAGACTCCGCTAACCCAGAAATATTACCTCAGGTTAAGAACTTTGCTTCAGGGTGAGAACAGAAATTGTGCAGCGGCGGCGCAGTAGCAGCAGGAGGCCCCATTAGCTAAAGTGGTGCTTCAGGTTAAGAACAGACCTCCGCAACGAATTAAGTACTTAATCTGAGGTACCACTGTAATTTTAGTTTTCAGCACTTGTCCATGCTGAGAGATTTCTCTCCTGGCTTACAAGTCCTAAAGTAGGGTAGAGATCTAGATTCGGTATCAATGAAAGCGAAAATTACTTCTATGGAAACGAGTCAAAGCATGGAAGATGCTGGAAGAAAATGGCATGTTTTATTTCTGAAAGCACTCAAGTGTGTATTTCAGCTGCATCCACTATTGGGAGAGGCAATAATTCACTATTTGTCTCCCAAGTAAGAAATGCTTTTGTCTTCTAGAAGAGCAACATACAATATGTCATGTGTGTTGTCTGCAACATGTGCTAAGTGTGTTGCTGCAATAAAACAGGGGAATTAAGACTAAGGGGTGGGGGGTTTTTTGCCTCCAAAGAAGAAACACATGGGATATCTTCCACATTGCAGTAATTTTTTAAGGACTAATTTATTTTGGGGGGGTGTGTGCATTGAACCCAAAGAAACATCTGTGTGTATTGTGCATGTGTGAATGCACACACGCAGACACTCTTAAAAATGTGCTGCATTTTTAAATCCATGTTTCTTTGGCATCTCACACCCCACAATAAATTCCAGTTTAAACCATATTCACCTGCAAGTCTGGTAAATACTCACAGTACTGCTGCCCTGGAAACAAAGGGTTGTATCCAGTGGAGTCATCCCATTCACACAAAGATATCCATTTGCACAACAGAAATCCCCCCCTCCCTGCATTAGATCTGATCTAAAGGGTTGGTGGGGGGAGCCTCAAAACACTTTGGAAGGGGGCGGGATTGGTTTCCACCTCACAAACAGATGTCCTTGCGCAAATAAGGCAACTTTGTCAGAAAGAGCACAAAATGCATTTCTGATTAGTCTCTGATTGCAGGCAGCCTCTCGGTTTTCTCAGCTTGGGATTCACTGCTTTTCCCCCACCAAGCATTTATTTATTTTTTTTAAAAAAGGCTGAGTTGTTGCTCTGCAGTGCAGTAAGACACCAGCATGACATGAAGAAACATTATAGGAAACAAATTAGCTCATTCTTGTGGATGACTAAATTGCCTGTCGTCTCCCACCAGGGCCTGTAATCCACTGGAGAATATGCAGCTCAGACAAAGGAGGCGGTGGCAGAAAAGAAGCAAGAAGGGCAGTTCACTATGACAGCACAGTGAGAAATAGATTTTAAGATTCCTGGAAAGGCCTGTAGTTTCACCCACACACGTGGAGGATTTTGTGTGTGCGTGTTTAACGGCACAACTGCTTTAAGTGTCAGTTGTGAATGTTCGTATAAAATCCAGTGTGCAGAGTAGTTCAAGTACTTACATTGTGGCAAAGGTTAACAGAATCCTGCAGGGTAATAATTTGTGCAGGACCTGTGTAGTCACATAAGACCCCTGGAATTTGATATTTTACTTTACTAGTTCTGAATCATGCAGCTTCGAACCTCTCAAAAGAACGATATCTGCCCTGTAATTTTTCAAATCGGGAAAAAAAAGTCAAAGTGGATGAAATACAACTGGTTGTGTTTGAACTGGCTTTGGCAGGTCACTAGGTAGTTCAGTAACGGAGGTTATTTGGAGGAGAAAAGCCTGGTATATTTTTGTCTCTGAGGCTGTGCAAAGTAGGTCGTCTTTTCAAATTGGACACACTTGTCATTGGTTGTGTATGCCAGAGACAGAATGTTTTATTCCAGTGAATAAGGATAGGAAGACTGGTCAGTATTTGAAAGATCTGCAAATGACCACTTCCTCTACTGGCACGATTGGAAGAGCCTGCCTTTTAGACTCGCTCTTGTCTCTGGCCACCCATAACCTTTTTGTTTCTGTAGTTCTTGGCTACCTAGAACACCTGGTGGCACTTGCTACAGTTTACATGAAGAACGATGCATATTGCTAAGGCATAAAAAACTTAGACGAGCCCTGCTGGATCAGACCAAAGGCCTATCTGGTCCAGCATTCTTTTTCGGCACCCAGATGCCTAAGGGAAGCCTATAAGTGGAGTAAAAACTCAATAGCACTGCCCTACTCATGATTCCCAGGAATGGGTATTCAGAAACATAGTACCTTTGATACTGGAGGTAATATAACCATGACAGTAAGAGCTGTTTGACAGTGGAACAGACTCCCTCAGGAGGTGGTGGACTCTCCTTCCTTGGAGGTTTTTAAGCAGAGGTTGGACGGCCATCCATCATGGATGCTTTAGCTGAGATTCCTGCATTGCAGGGGGTAGGACCAGATGACCCCTAGGAAGCCTTCCAACTGTACAATTCTGTGATTCTCTGACTCTATTACTACTACCCATCAGTAGTCTTTTTCTGCATGAATTTGTCCAACCCCCAAGTTGGTTGCCATCTTTCAGTAGTGAATTCCATAATTTAACTGTGCCTAAGAAGAGTCTAAGGGACTCAGGTGGCACTGTGGGTTAAACCACAGCGCCTAGGACTTGCCGATCAGAAGGTCGGCGGTTCAAATCCCCGCGACGGGGTGAGCTCCCGTTGCTTGATCCCTGCTCCTGCCAACCTAGCAGCTCGAAAGCACGTCAAAGTGCAAGTAGATAATTAGGTACCGCTCTGGCGGGCATGTAAACTGTGTTTCTGTGTGCTGCTCTGGTTCACCAGAAGCGGCTTAGTCATGCTGGCCACATGACCCGGAAGCTGTACGCCGGCTCCCTCGGCCAGTAAAGCGGGATGAGCACCGCAACCCCAGAGTCGGCCACGACTGGACCTAATGGTCAGGGGTCCCTTTACCTTTAAGAAGAGTCTGTCCTGCTAATTAATCACCGTAAATGGCAGTAGCTAATTTAGAGCATGAACTATGAACTAAAAGTTATTGGGTGGAATCTTAGCCATCCATGAACCTGGTAGAAGTCCCATGCCATCCGTCCTCCGCAGTTCTGCACTTGTAATATGGCCCTGGATTAACATGCCTTAGTCAGGATGTATTTTGTCCTCTGCTGTTAAGGGTCATAAACAACTCCTTTCTGTGACAAGCTAATTAAAGAAGAATTGAGCTTTCATATCTTTTTGAAGACCATGTGCTATTTCGGGTAGCAATGGGGTGCCCCCCCCCACTATCTGAAGCCCTGCCATCTGAATTCCAACCTCCCTTCAGGTGCAGGGTAGAAGGAAGGGAGCAAGAGCATTGCAGAATATGGGACTGAAGTGAGCAGTGCTTGATTGATTGTGAGTAACGCAAGAAGTGAGGGATATGTGTTCAGTTATAAAATACATAACTTGTGGGGTGTGAAGATTTGGCCGGAAATGCTTGGTCTAGTACTTTTTGCCCAAGCAGGGGACTCAATAAACAGCATTTTCGGTCTTGTCGTAGCCTCCTTTGTCTTGCATTGTCAGGAGAAGATGGCATAGAGGCTACAGTTGCATGTAACAGTAAGCCATCGTTTAGCAGTGTGTGTATTAGGGAACAAAGTGAATGCTAACCACAGTTCCAGTTCTGTTACTTGAACATAGCCAGAAAAGCTTCCAATCTACTCCTTGTTCTAAATGGTTTAGTTTCAGCATTGCATGCAAATGTGGTCAGTGAATTCCCTTTTGACTGGAAAAACTATAGCCGATCGCATAATTTTTAATCGGCATAGGATAAGTATTTGCTTAGGTTTCACTACTGCAGTAGTGAAATGGCCTTGTTGTTGCTGTTGTTGTTAATAATTTATACCCCACCTTTTCTCTGTTTACTCAAGGCTGCTGACAGATTAAAAACAAGAACTGTTTAAAACATAGAAAAAGCAATAACGAAAAACAGTTAAACATTGGTAAAACTAAAACTATATACATATATGAAACCTGTTTAAAACATGCAAATAATTACAGTAAGAACAGTACGGGACCAGTCATTTGCATAGTTGAAAGTAACTTAGAGAAGGAAAGAGGCTAATAGTTCAGAGGTAGAGCACATGTTCGCATGCACAAGATCCCAGATTGAAGCCCTTCCATCTCTAGTTAAAGGTTTTGGGTAGTAGGGCTAGGCATGAGTTCTGCTTGAGACCTTAGAGAGATTCTTGACATTCCGAGTAGACCGTACTAAGCTGGATAGACGAATAGCCTGCCTCTCAATAGAAAGCAGCTTCGTGTGTTTGTGACCAGCAAGGAAATGTTTCTCTAACCCGTTGTGGACTTGATTGTGCATATGAGCGTTCAGTCTAAGTTGGAAGATGTTGGTGGGAGAAAAGGTGTTCGCTTTTGAGTTTGCATCTTTGTCATTGGTCCATCATGCTATTCTTTCTGCCTCTGCCTGAACCCAACCCCCCCTCGCAGCCTGGCTGAAATGTTCGCTTGTGCAGCTAGCCCTGATACAGTTTATACTACATCCTCCACCAGTGTTCGGCTGCGATACCAGAAGTCGATGTCCATGTCGGCTTCTGTGCATGCGAAGATGATGTTACCTCCAGTAAACAATGGTGCAGATAACTTCAGGTCTATGTAAGAAATGCTGGCATCCATTGTTGCTTAACTCTGCACTAAGGATATTCTAGTTCTAGATAGTGCTAGAAATTGATGCTACCTAGAAGGTGTGTTCTCTCCCTACCCTCCTTTTATCCTTTGGTGGTCAAGGTTGTTTGTGCTGTGATCCCTTAATGAACATCTTGAGTGTTCTTTACTGCTGTCCAAATTCCTTCAGATAATGTAATATATGTTGTGATTTTGTATAGCTTCGGAAAATATTAAGAATTAATATTTTCGATTAGAGTGATATTCTGGAAATCTGTTCTCAGATTATCAACATAGAAAATGCTCAGTTCCTTTCTTGCAGTAGGGGTTTTCTTTTTGCCCTGCAAACCCAGGTTTTTAGATCTCCTGGTTGCTTCTAGAGTGTTTGTGAGTTTTTTGTGTTTTTTGATGAATCATTTATGTGCTGCAGTAATGCTACCTCTAGATTGTATTCTATAAACTTTTCTCTTAACCGTATTCTAGAGGTACCTAATGCTCCTTGTAAACATGTACAGGCAACTCTTCATTTACTTGCGATCTATTTGTGTGCAAGACCCACCCCAGGGTCTCCTCATGAGGTGGAAAACATCCTCTTTGGGCTCCAGGGGGCTTCTCTGTGTGAGCTGGAGGGGCAGTGGGACTGTCTCAGCTGACTCTTGGGAAGCATTGTTCAGCTGTTAGGCAGTGAAGCTGAGCAGCTCAACAAAGTCCTGCTGTCCCTCTGGCTCATGAGGAGACCTCTTCAGGCTCTGAGGTGGGTCTCCTCGCAAGCCATTAGGACTCTCCAGGGTGCTCCCCATTTTATGCAATTTTGCATATGCATACAGGAGTCTGGCCCAGAACAAAAATGGGGAGTCACCTGTACTGTGTTAGCCTTGTAGAGATTTGAGTTTCTGTGGTGGAATTTTTAACATAACCCGTGATCTTATTCCAGCGCTGTTCCTGATCAGAGAACTCCAGTTGCTTCAACTCACAGCATTAGCAGCGCAACAACACCTGACCGTATCCGTTTCCCAAGAGGAACTGCCAGCCGCAGCACTTTCCATGGCCAGCTCAGAGAACGGCGCACTGCCACTTACAATGGGCCCCCTGCATCACCCAGCCTGTCTCATGAAGCAACCCCACTTTCGCAGACACGAAGCAGGGGCTCCACTAACCTGTTCAGTAAATTGACTTCAAAGCTGACGAGGAGGTATGTATTTTTTATTTTTTTAAAAAACATAATTTTAGCAGAAATTTGCTTGGCACAGTTATTCGCCATATCCAAGAACTTAATCTAACCATGCGCTGCAGTTCAGCTTTTACAAGTTTAATATTCACCTTCCAAGTAGTGGGAGCTTCAAGTGACATACATAGAACTTAGCTTTTAGTATTTGCCTTTTCTTTTATCAAACCTATATACACACTTCTCCAAAAAGCAATGTGGTTGCTCTGGTGCTGCAGAGAGGATTATGGTTTGCATCGGTAATCTACAAGACTGTTTACTTAAATTGTGAGGGGCGGGAAAGCTAGCTTAAATCAGCCCGTCTTTAGAAGGCTAGACATGTCAAAAATAGTAGCCTGCAGTAATGATGAACAATGTAATTGGCTAATAACGGAAGTTTTCCCTTGGGAAATCTAATCAACAGAAGCTCACTTCAGCCCTTTGCAAGAAGTGAAATTTTCTTTCTCGCCCACTTGCTAGTATAAGCTAGCTGAACTTTTCAGGAATCCTGACACTTTGAAAGCTTAGCTACTCTGTAGCTTCACATACTGTTGGTTAACCGCTGAAGTATACCCAGGAGAATGATTAGTCAGTATTCCATAGGAAAAAACCCTAAAACCCTAGCTTTAGACACCTCAGGATTTAGTGATGCAAAGCTTCCTAAAGAAAACAGAAGCAGATGGATAGCCTAGGTACTGGTGTGCAGGGCTGCTAGTCCCAAAACGGGAAACTGAGAAATGTAAAATATAGTTCCAAACTTAATCAGATTTGTATTTTGCAAGTAAGCTTTCACTTGCTTAAGAGTTACAACTTTGCTCTTTCCAGGACATGCTCCGGAAGCAGGAATGGCCTCATAGACATCTGTCTGTGCTCAGAACAATGTTCTTAACTTGGGTCTTTTAGATGCAGTTTCCTATAACAGATTTATTCATACCACTAATTAACTGAAGGGTGCAGAAAGCCTTGTGGTTGATCCAGAAGCTGCAGCTGGTGCAGAACCTAGCAGCTAGGTTGCTTGTGAGTGCAAACTATGGTCAGCACTTAACACCTTGCTTGTGGGATTCGCACTGGCTGCCAATTTGCTACCAGGCCAAGTTCATGGTGTTGGTACCCACATATAAGTTCCTGTACAGCTTGGGACCCAGTTATTTCAGTGACAGCGTTATACACCCAGTAGATCACTGCAGTCTGCAAGAGAGTCTTTCCTGCAAGTTCCGAAGATCTCAGAAGCCCATTCTGCAGTAACTTGGAGCAGGGCTTTTTGCGTGCCAGCCCCTCTCCTGTGCAATACCATTCCTGTTGAAATACGATAGGCACCCACTATCCGGAAAGAGTGGAAGGCATTTTCATTGCAGTAGGCTTTACCAGTAGGAAAAATTGATCTTTTACAATGCATGTCCACTTGTTAAAGAGTTTTAATCTTGTTTTAAATATATATATTCTATTTTTCAGCTGTTTTTAATTATGTATAAATCCCATTGGGGCAGTGGTTTAGAAGGCATTAATAAATTAATTATAGTAGTAGTAGTAGTAGTAGTAGTTTGGTTTCAGAGGACATCGTTTTTATGTAGAGAACCCCAGTCCTCAGCATCTCTAGCTAAAAGGGGTCTCAAGTAGCAGGACTGGGAAAGAGATTGACTGGAGAAGTTCTCCAGGCTCTCAGGCCAGATGATGTGACAATGTCGAATAACTTTTGTGTGTGGTTTGTTGTGACACTGCGCTCATTCAGGAAAATGAGATAAACACTGAGCTGTCTTTCTGTAAGCCACTGTTGTTGGACCACTGAGATATATATTTTGCTCAGCCTATTTCAGTTAATGTCCTTTTACCATTTAATACCGACATATATATTTCATCCTTGTCCACGCTTCACAGATCTTGCAGCCTTTGCAGATCTGGTGTCTGTGTGTCATCTGTCATGCATTTTTTTTTGGGGGGGGTGGATTTTGATGAACTCTTAAGCCTCACTACCAGGCTTTCCAAAACATTCAGAGACTTCACTTTAGAAGCAACTTAGCTGTTTCAACTTAAAATTATTTTTGTAAGGGACTTCAAGTGTTACAGTGCCTTGCCTGGCTTGTCAGTATTCCCTTTTGCACTTAAGACACGTAAGCGATAATTGGCGCTGTAATTATTTGCTTTTCACACCTTGAATAAGCTGTTTTGTTGCATCAGCAGTTCGCAGTATTTGTGTCCTTTCACAATGTGATTATAGACTGAAGTTTTCAAACTTCCATTCTAGTTCCACTGGAAGTTTTGTTGTCGCTAATAGTTCTGTTTTAGGGGCTTCTGGCTGCTGTAGAAACAAGGTCTTGCAGTCCTATTTTTCCTGTGTGCATTAATTGGAAAGGGTTATGAAGTCACATTCAGCTTAAGTTCTGAGTCCTGTTCCTAGAAGATACTCTATTTCTGTTCTGTTTTTGTTTTTTTGGTAACCCCCAAGGGCTTTAAAAGTCACCCTTTGCACACAATGCTAAACAATGGTTTAGTGTAACTTGCTGGACAGTTGAGATTTGCTGCAAGCCTCAGGCTTGGGTACTCCATTTCCTCCTATGCAGCTGGGAAAAAGGAACTTAGTCAGAATTTAAATTCCCACGAAACCTAGTTTGCTGCACTAGTCAGTTTCTTTTTAAAAACTAAAAGCCAACCTAAAGCCATAGGTTATGAAGTAGGCTTGCTTAACTACAGTTTGCTTTAAACCATTACCCCTGGTTTGTACATAACAATATCAAGTTTTATGGAAAGCAAAGCTAAACTTTACTGAAGTTCTCCCCACTGTCCAGGAGGGGAAGAGGAGAGCATGCATGACCAACACAACTCTTACTCGTGAACATACAGTGGAACCTCGTGTTATGGACGGGATCCATTCTGGAGGCCCATCCGTAACACGAAACTGACGCAAGCCGAAGTGTCGCGTCTGCAAAGTGCGATGAAACCCGGAAGTAACCTGTTCCTGCACTTCCGGGTTGCCGCGGGACACAACACAAAAATACATAACCTGAAGCGGACGCGACATGAGGTATGACTGTAGTACTAAACCATGTGTCTACTGTACATAGACAACTGTAATATAATGTGCCTTTACTTGGCTATCAAATTCAGAAAGCAGATGTGAAGGATTTCTCATATATACAGGGGAGTGACTGGGGAAGAAAGTGTTGAATTCTCCTTAACACTGAAGATCCATCCATCCATTCCAATAACCATCATGTATTTCCAGAGTGAATTTGAAACTGTTTCCGTATTTCATTGAGATAGTCTTATGTGTCTCGCTTGTTGAATGGATTTTCAAATTTCATACCAACACATTTTAATTATTATTTTGGCTTAATTTCTTTTAGAAACATGTCATTCAGGTTTATCAAAAGGTAGGATTTTACTTCTATTTTCAGAACCAGCTCTCGCAATTAACATTGAATTTGGCTTTCTAGCCTTGGTTTTTCTTTAAAACAAATTGAAACAAAACTAAACTTTCCGCTGAGAACTAAATACTCTTCACATACCCAAGATAAGTAAAGAAATTCATTAACCAATGAATAATCCCTATGGATCTCTGGCACCTGAATAATAATGAAATGCAAAGCATGTCTTATGCGCTCTACTTACTTTGATAGTACCAAAAAATAATTTTGTTCTTTATACTAATACACTTAGCATGCTTATGGTTGAAAAATGATATGTACAGTGATATTGATTAAAAGTGTAATACAAAGGTAAGTAATTCTCTACTTGCTTTATCAACCTTAATTTCAGCTTAAGAGCCATTTTAGTTTATTTGCCACTCACTGGTGATAATATATTTGGAACCTAGTCCTGGGTTTTACTTTTTAAAAAATACAAATAATACCCCGAAGATCTATTGAGACATAGTCAGAACTATAAACGCCTCTCTTGTTAGCAACATGCTTGGTTGAGTTTGCATTCATGGTTCTGGAATGGAGATACGCTTCTCAGCTGTTTGATGAAAAGAGCATTGTTAGGCAGCATTGGAGGTAAGGATCTCCACTGTTTGCTTGGTATTAAGTAGTTACATTTGGCCTGCCACATTTGAGAACCAGCTAAACAAGAGAAAGACGTTTGTATGTTAAGATAACAGTAGACCAGGCAGTTTGAAAGAAATTGAAGTGCAAGAAATGGGTAAGTTTCAAGCCATCCTGCAGAGATAGCATTGCATTTGCCACAAATGGCTTTTGGCATGTGAATTCAGAGCTTGTGGCAAGGAGGGAAAAATTGGTCCTGCCCCCCCCCTTCACATAGTTTTTGGATTCTAAAAGATTAACACACCCCCCACTATGCATACGAGTGTTGGTCAATTCAGAGTGTCTCTGCTATTCACAGCGCTGGTGGCATTAGAGAAATGGCACAGCTCAGTGGTAGAGAACTGGGCCCAAAGTAACAAAAGGAATTTCTGCAGGGGCAAAGTTAAGGTTCTGCACTCTAAGCTTTGGCACCACAATTTAACAAGGCTATTGACAAGCTGAAAAGTGTGCAGATGATGAAGGGTCTGTAAAGCGAGCCTTATGAGGAGCGGTTGAAGGAGTTGGGAGTGTTGAGCCTGGAAAAGAGGAGACTTGAGAGGAGATATGATAGCCATCTTCAAAGAGCTTAAGGGCTGTCACATGAAGGATGAAACAAGCTTGTTTTCTCCTGCTTTGGGGAGGTAGGACTCGGAACAGTTACAAGAAAGGAGATTCCAGCTGGAATCTGTCAGAAGAACTTTCTGACAGTAAGAGCTGTTTGACAGTAGAACAGACTCCTTGAAAGGTTGTGGACTCTTCTTCCTTGGAGGATTTTAAGCAGAGGTTGGATGCTCATCTGTCTTGGATGCTTTAGTTGAGATTCCTGTATTGCAGGGGGTTGGACTAGATGACCCTTGGGGTCCCTTCCAACTCCACCAGTCCATGAATCTAAGGAACACAAAAATATGTTTGCCCACATCTGGAGTGGAGCCTTTAACCAGGGCGCAGTAGTTTTCCAGATTAAGCTAGAGTTAAAGTGTAAGATCTTTGGGACACGTTAATAGGTTACCCAATGGCAAAAAACGAGCTAGAGCCCAGGCAGTTTCCATAAAACCTGTTGCTGTATCATTGATTTTAAGTGTCTGGTTGCATGTTTCATCAGCTGAGAGGCAGTTAAATGAACCGCAGCAGTTCCTAAAGTGTGTTGATCATTATTCAGAGCTTTGAAAGTACAGAAGTGTCTTGTGATGTCTTTAAATAGATAAAATCCTATTTTGTCCTCTAAGGCTAGGTAAGACATCTCCACAATGTCAATGCATTTTCAGATGTATGGTCACTTATGGAACTTTCATTAAAGCTGAACTGTCTCCAGTGACCACCTGTGGTTGCTCCCATGCTTTTAGGCCTTTCCCCCCTGCGATATCTGCTTTTTCTGTAATGGATACATAATATTTGTGGCACCCTGGTTTGCGATATGGCTGCATTGAATGTTTTATCACTTCACTTATTTATGTGCATTTAACCTGTTCTGTTAAATATTTTGAATCCCCTGAAAGCACAACCTTAGCTGCACTGCTCGACATCCTTAATTTAATTTTGCAGTGCAAATCTGATATTAGTGCACTTTGTCAAATTTTCTCAAGCAAGCCCATGTCCCCAACCCAATAGTTAGAAGATTATGAAACCAGTGGTTTGTTTACAGTAGAGTAGACCTGCAACATATGTGGGGGTTACATTCTGAGGATAGTGCATAAAGCCAAAATAGTGTATCGTCAAAACACATTGGGTGCTAATGGCAGGTAGGGGGCCAAAGTTTTCCTCCCCGGATGACCACCCCCTTTCCACTCCCTTTTTAATTAAAAAAAATAGTTTTGCCAAGTGCATAATGCTGAATGCACACAAGTTGAATGCTCATCACTTGTGGGCCTACTGCATTGCTCTTTTTAATTTTGAAATATTTATATTGTGCCTTCCCAAAGAGTGCCAGCTGGCTAACAAAGAGGAAGAATGCAATATGTAAATAAAAAAGTACAATCTGCCAGTCAAATTACAGTGAAACGCAAAGGTATCATCATAACGGGGCACCAAAGGTATTGTTATAACAGGGCACCAAAACCATCAGGATAGGATAACAAGATCAGTAAAAAAACAAAGTTCACTAAAACCCCTTCCACCACCATCCTAAGGATGTCCATCTGCTTGTGCAATGGAAACCCACTTGCATGGATTTTGATTTTTCTTCACTGCTCAGCAGGATCCCTAACCTTCCAGAGGACATCTGGGGTTGGGGGGCTGCAGGGACAAGAGAAAAGGAAGCACAAGTAGATGCCCACTCTCACTAGGTTGGCTTTCACCCTGTATGGCCCAAATGTGACATTCACTTTTTGAATTCTTCAAGAATCCTTTTTATTTCAGAACGTTACCATGCATATGACACTCTCACACTTTCATGCATTCAAGGGAATAATTGTACTGTATAGGTGAATGACAACTGAATTATCAGATGAATTTCATTCTGTAGCCCTCTCTTTCTTGAAGCCATCCTGTTTGTGCAACTAGGAAGTGTCTCATGAAAGCCATATGTTCTTCTGGGGACTCATTGCAAATATTTATGTGCCATGAATTCTGCTGTTTTAAGAACGTCTCAGTCACTCTTAATCAAGTGGACAGGGAAGGGCCTTAGCTCAGTGACGGATAATCTGCTTTGCATGTGGAAGGACGCAGGTTCAATCGCTGGCATCTCCTGACACCCGTCTAAAATCCTGGAGAGGTGCTGCTTCCAGTTGGTATAGATAATACTGAGCTGAATGGACCAGCGGTCTGACTCAGTAAAAGGCAGCCTCCTACATTTCTGTGGTTGGGTGCTTAATTTTTATCTTGAAGCATGTTCAGTTCTTGCTGTTACGAAAAGATTTTGAACAGTTGGTGCATTTACTGGTACAAATTCCCTTTATATAACTGGTTTGACAAATCAATGGATTGTGGGATAAGATGACAATTCAGTTTTTCTTACTGGATTCTGACTATTTCCGGTATACCTCGACTTCCTCCATGCATTCGTATTGCCATTCAGAAAGTTCAGTCTGTGTTCTAGTAGCTCTATTGCTCCAATCTGAAGTAGTCAGTGAAGCTCATTTGGAGATTGCAGCCAAATTCAACATACCACATAGTCGTTTAAATCCCTTGAATCCGAGTTTGTTCCGGTTGCTTTCTGTGCAGTGGTGGAGCAAAAGGAATAAAATAGAATCCCTTGCAGATTCTTTCCTCCGTTCAGCATGTTCTGCTGAACAAATGAAACTACAAATTGCAGAGATGAGCAGTAAACTTTTTACAGAGGTGTGGATATACTGCAATTTGCTGGATTTATAGACAGCTTATTGTGAATATCCCTGGGCAGAAATTTTTTGCAGAACTTCTGCATCCCAAGCTAATGAAAAGTCTGTATCAAATTAACACAAAACTCTGTAGAGGGCAACAAGGGTGGTGCTGAAATTGAGGATTGGGGTAAGGTCTGTGTAAAGTATTTCCATTCCTTCTAAGTGCTTTCAGTTCGGCATTTGAGATCAAAGCTAAGGTGTTAAGTGGAGCAGAACAGTGTATAGGAAGGATTTCCCTTTCTTCTGTTGCATACCTACCCAACTGCTGAAAATCATATGTATCAACAGAAGTTGGTTTTCACATTTTCTTCCCACCCTTCTCTGCAGCAGTTCAAAAGTGCCTTGCACTATTTCTGTTTCTTTCTAAAGGTTTATTCTTGACAGGTAAGGCCGAGGAATGCTAAGTGAATGGAATTATACAGTGGTGAAATTTCTAGCTGGAAACTGTCTTAATATAGGAGAAGCAGTTACCAGCTGATCATGAGATTCATCCATTTATATGTAAACTGAGAGATGACAGGCTGGACAGTCCTGAAAATAAATTATGATGGGCCTTGTCTGGTATACCTGAACTGAATTTTTAGTGTTTGTAATTTATTCTTTCTGCCTGCCTAACAGTTATGTGAGCAGCCCAATGCTTAATCGAGCACCATTGTTGCAAGTCCTTTTTGTTGTCACCAGAATCTACTTTTGAGGATCACACATAGCTGTCTTCTTGTAGATCAATGTACAGCCCTAATAGCAAACGTTTGAGGCTTCCAAATATATTTTATTTGGACAAAGGCATGTTTGATATTCTGAGTCTACTAATCATTTGAATGTTTAAAGCCCAAGCATCTAATTGCAAATGTAAATTGTTAAGTGAGATGTTGCTATGCCGTGTTCTGCCAACTTTTATCCATACTAGTGTAAGATTTGTCTTCTCTTTCCTGCTTTCTTTGTGCTTCGGCATTGCTTTCATTGAGGCTCCCAACTGAATATGAGAGGAACGGGAGATTTGAGGGCTCAAGGTGAGGGTAACTATTTTTTTGCTTAAAATGTTAACCTTAGATGTTTTACACTCTCCCCCCCCCCCCATCCACTCCTTCGAGGGATGCAAGCAATAGGACACTGGTGGTGGTATCTCTCAAACTTAACGAATATGTAAAACTAAGATTGCCTCCTATACTCAAAGCTGTGATTAAATCACTTATATTACATGATTCTGACTTTTCTTGCATACACCTGACCAAAATCTAGCCTCTCAGAGCTATGCAATGACTATTAGATTGTAGCTGAGAGAGCCAGCAGATTACAGGACAGTTCAAAAAGGAGACTTCTCCAATTAGCCTGAAATTGTCATTGAAAACTCTCTGCCATTGTCAAGTAGAGAATGGGAAAATATAAGGAGAAATGTTTTTCTGCCTACAGTAGAAGGCTTTTCTTTTTTTATTACCTTTTAGCACAAAGGCCAGAGTCATGTGACCAAGAATTAATCACAGAAATGTCTATAAGAGAGCCTTGGTTTTGAATGGTGGGCTCGTTTCCCTACAGAAGTTCTGGGATTTCATTAACAGATATGAAAACCTGGATTGAATTATGCTGAGATCCTGTTAGAAAGACTCAAATACTGGATTACGGAATAAAGTGCTGCTCCTGTCTTTGGACACCACTTGGAACAATTACCTCTGAAAGTGTCTTTATTGTGTCTGGTTCTGATTCCATACACAAAGCTTAACACTACCAGATGCCTTTCCCCCCTAAAACTTGATATCTGCCTGCCTTCAAGGAGGCAGGGCTGCTAATTCACAGGTTGAAGTAGATATGAAATTCTAGAAATGCCTGTGACTTCTAATTTTTTTCATAGCCCTTCCAAAAAGGATAGGGGAAATTGGGACAGGAAGGCATCAATATGGGGACTTGTGTTTTTTGTATATTTGATACAAGCGTGTTTTCACCCAGAAGTGTGCAGCCCAGGAAACTGCTGGCAGCATTCATTCTATGGCTGCTGGTGGAGTCATGCTTGCTGCTTTCACTAGATCACCAGGTTTGATAGTATGCTTCCATTCTAATCACCGTAGTTGAACATTTCCCCGTCACTTACAATCCCTTCCCGTTTTGTCTGCAGAGTTTATTCATTTTAAAATAAAAGTAGAGGTTAATTCTGCGATCCTTCCTGGAACTAAACTTAAAGGGCAGTTTTTAAACCATAGTTATTGCTACTTGAATGTGATAGTTTTTAAAAAACTGCTCTCAACTTGTAGGAAAGTGGGAAGTCAGTCTGAAAGTCCCCACCTGCTTCCAGCAAAGTTAGGGGGGAAAGGGGACCTAAGGGATCTTGCACATGTAATTGATAGTGCCCCATGTTGGGAAGACTTACCCGTATTTTTCGCTCTATAACACGCACCAGACCATAACACGCACGTAGTTTTTAGAGGAGGAAAACAAGAAAAAAATATTCTAAACGAAATAGTGGATATATGATTTTTGTGGTTCATGCTGTGGCCACAGACATGTGATCTGACAGTGAGTTTGGAGTAGCCCAATGCAAAAATCCTGAGGATCCATGTGGATCCATGCTTTGTAACCATGGAGGAGGGAAGGAAGGGGAACCATGGATCCTCTGCTCACGACTGCAGCAGATCCCCCCCGCCACCCGCAGGCATTTGCTCCATAACACACACAGACATTTCCACTTACTTTCTAGGAGGAAAAAAGTGAGTGTTATGGTGCAAAAAATACAGTAAATCATGACATGCAGAGTTCTGCATTAAAAGTCCCCAGCACCAAATTCTACATTTAGTGTATTATGTATATTTGGCACTCCATGTTGATGGGAAGTGGAAGGTGATTTGCAGCAGAGAGAATCAGTGTCCTGGGAAAAGTTTGCATCACACCCACACATGTGTGTGACTTCTCTTTTTCACATCTCCCCCTCCGAAACTTGTTTTTGTAAGGGGAGGGGAAGGAAACCTTGGAGGTGAGCGACACGTATTTTCAAATAACACCCCGTTGGCTTGAGCTCTGTTGGGCTTTCCCCCTAATTCAGATGTTGCTGGGCACTAACAGGAGCTTTTAATCGCAGCGGGGCTTGGTAAGCAGTTGCCGAGAGAGCATGCTTAATAATGCATGCTGCAAAGCCTTTTACTAACATAATGGCTTTCACTGACATAATGACTCGGAAAGGAAACGGGCTCATCTGGTATGAATACTAAGGCTTTGTTTCCTTTCAGCCGCAACGTGTCCGTTGACCAGAAGGATGACAACAAAGAAGCCAAGCCCCGTTCGCTACGATTCACCTGGAGCATGAAGACCACCAGCTCCATGGACCCTAACGATATGATGAGGGAAATCCGCAAGGTCCTGGACGCCAATAACTGTGACTATGAACAGAGAGAGCGTTTCTTGCTCTTCTGTGTCCATGGAGACGGCCACGCAGAGAACCTCGTGCAATGGGAGATGGAGGTGTGTAAGCTGCCAAGACTGTCGCTGAACGGAGTTCGCTTCAAAAGGATATCGGGAACATCCATAGCTTTTAAAAACATTGCTTCCAAAATTGCCAATGAATTAAAGCTGTAATGGGAAGAGCAATCAAGTTTGTAAATTTAAAAGTAGCAAATTTCAAGTGGTTTTTTTCCGTTTTGTTTTTTTGAGAACACCAATGGAAATGTATAGAATAATATTTAGGGCAATAATTTCTGCATCTTCTGAATCATGATATTAAAACTGTTGAGACAAGCTGCTGAGCTGGGAGGGAGAATTGGACTTTTTATATATATACATATATATATATATATATATATATATATGCACTACAGCATTAAAGTTGCCTACTATGTAAAATATTATTCCCTTCTGCTTTATTTCCATTGCTCCGAGTCTTGGCGAACAATCTGAAACACACAAATATATACCTTTGAATATTCCTCTTGTTTGTGTGGATGTGTGAATGTACCGTATGTGTGTATAATTATAATATAAAAAGTATTATATGTAAACCATTTAAAGCATTAGAGCTGTACTGGTACCTCTTTTTGGGCTACTTTTGGTGCTAAAATTGAAATGGCCAAGATGGAGACACTTAAGAATACGTTAAACAAAGCTAACGAGCTCACCAGTAAATTCAGGCTTTGCAATTCACTGCTGTGTTTAAGAATAGTATGAAGGGTTTGGGTTTATGGCTGTGAACAGTATTCCTGTGGTTTCTTATTTGCTCTCATGAGGTAACTTAAAACTCGTGTTTTTTCCCCCTCAAGTCTTGCAATCTTTCTCCCACCTATTTATTATTATTTAAGTCTGGAATCAAAATTAAAACTACACATTTGTGATAATTAAAACTGTGGGGAAATGCTTCAAGTTTTTATTTTTTCCTTGCCAAGCAAAAGTTGAGCATTTTATCTTCTTGATCCTTTCTCCTCAAGGTTTTTACTAGAACAAATTGCAATTTTTGGTCGTTTTATTTTGGGCCACTTTGCTCTTGCATTGCTCCTGTTCACTCCAGTGGGGCCAGTTCAGGGAACTTTCCTGGGGAATTGTGCACTTAACGTCTCCTCTTTAACGCAGATGGGCAGTATCCAGCACTCCCCTTCTGCTACCGCAAGACAGTTGTGCTAGCAGAACAGAACTTTCCCCACCTCTCCTGCTCAGTCCCCCACGCACCCTCGAAATCAGCTCTGGAAAGTTGGGAAACCCTTCAAAAAGATCTGGGGGGTATGCGCAGGGATTGGAGAGGAAATGGAATAGCCACTGTTCCAGAGGAATTCCACTGGCACTGTTTCGGATGCAACCCTTTATGTTGAGGTAGAAATGTGTTTATCAGCAGACTTACTGGAACATGTCTTTCGTTGGGTGTTATCCTGTGGTGGCTTTGTGTTATAGAAGCTCTTTCATTAGCACAAGGCGAAGCACCCCGATTTCATCAACCTCCCTACCAATTGCAGTCCTCTATACCATAACCCGTACTATTCAGGGGTTTCCTCCAGTGTTAGAAACTGAGATATGAAAGCTAGGAGCTAAATGGCACCTTAAACCTAGGTTATGGGCACAATAACGGAATGGCACACTAATTATTATTTATTTATACACACATACATACATACATACCCCGCCCATCTGGCAGGGTTTCCCCAGCCACTCTGGGCAGCTTCCAACAAAACACTAAAATACAATAACCTACTAAACATTAAAAGCTTCCCTAAACAGGGCTGCCTTCAGATGTCTTCTAAAAGTTTGGTAGTTATTTTTCTCTTTGACATCTGGTGGGAGGGCGTTCCACAGGGCGGGTGCCACTACCGAGAAGGCCCTCTGCCTGGTTCCCTTTAACTTGGCTTCTCGCAGCGAAGCCAAGTTACAACAAGAATACAAAGCTGAAAATGAATGAACTGCAGCTAAAACATTATGTTCATTTTTCACATGCTCTAGTCCTTCCCCTGCCCGCCCACCCTAATATTCTTAAGAGGGTCTCTTCTCCAGTCTTCAGAGAGTAGCTGGAAGTGAAGAGGCAGAAAAGGGTCCTCCTTTCCTTCCAGTCTGTAGTTTTATTCTGAAATCTTAGGTGCAGTACTGCGCCCAGAGCTGAGAAAAGGCTCACACTAATGAAGTTCCCTGTCACAAAATGAGCCTAAAGCAATGGGAGTTTCGAACACTGGCTACCCCAACCCTCAGGAGGAGCTTTTGGGGGACAGAGGGTAGGAGGGACCAGAAAAAAATCAGCTACCCTTCCATGCACAAGCTGAAGCATCTCTGCTAGCAGAAAGTCACCATGGGATGGAACCCATTTTCTATAGGACAGAATCCAGCCAAGAAAGGACAAGAGCTGGAGAAGTCTTGAATTCCAGTTAATGGGAGAATTGTCCCATGACTAAAATGCTGACTGTCTTGACCATTAATGCTGGCCATGGGGGAGGAGGAGGATTACCAATGGTTGCAAAAATAAGTGAGGAAAGTACAGTGGTACCTCAGGTTACATACGCTTCAGGTTACAGACTCCGCTAACCCAGAAATAGTACCTCGGGTTAAGAACTTTGCTTCAGGATGAGAACAGAAATTGTGCGGCGGCAACAGCAGGAGGCCCCATTAGCTAAAGTGGTACCTCAGGTCAAGAACAGTTTCAGGTTAAGAACAGACCTCCAGAACGAATTAAGTTCTTAACTCGAGGTACCACTGTACTTTCTTTCCCTGTCAATTTTTCTATTCTAAATTAGCCTTCCACAACCCTCCAGGTAATTTGGACTCCCATCAGCTCCAGCTAGAATATTTAATGATAAAGGAAGATGGTAGATGTAGTTTTGTGTTTGTTTTGTTTTTGCTGGAAGCTGCCCAGAGTGGCTGGGGCAACCCAGTCAAGTGGGTAAGGTACAGAAATTATTATCATTTATTGCAAAACAACTGGAGGGATACCAGTTTGTTCTAAATCTACCCAATAGTGGCCAGAGCAAAAGCCAGTGGCCACTCTTCCTTCGCAAACTGTTAACTTGTATATAGGAGATTTTGTCCTTAAAGCAAAAAAAAAAAAAAAAAGTGATTAAAAGAGGGCTGCCATTTTGCCTGCAAGTGTAAAGGCAGTTGGGGCCCTCTTCTTGATACGTATCTAAACTATTAAAAAGATTCTGCATATGCAGACACAGACACAAACACCAAGCATATTCTGAGACATGGAAGCAATTGGAACAAACCTGTGTGCTCACAGAATCGGGGTTTGCAGGCTTCGTATCTGAAACTTTTTCCGTTCCATTGAATCAGGAAAAGGGACAACGTGAGACAGCGGTTGCAAGGTTGCCAGTATGAACTGTCACGCTGAGTAGCTAAGTCTGGTTCCTGGGCCTTTATCCATACCTTCTTTTCTTAGTCATTACCAAAGAATTGCACACCATCTGTGAAATCATCATCACTAAAAATAAAAAACCTGCTGGGATCACTGCATTGCAGAGTATATTTTATGATTTGCATTGTATAGATTCTCCATATCTGGTGGTCTTAAGAATCCAGAAGTGACCAACCTTTTCTATGAGACAACACTTCTAGCGACAGCTACCAAAATGGATATGTCTTCTTTGCATCAAAGCACAGAACAGCATCATCTTGTTCGCTCTTCTGGTTATATGAAATGTCCTTCAATACCTAGATTTGATATGGGCTTAATTACCTAACATAATTTTCATGTGGGTCCTCTTGTGTGATTTAGTGCTTGTGGCCCCCAGTCCAGCAAAGCACAAGCGTGGAACGAGCTTTATTTTACATTACTTTGAAAACATACTTGATGCACCCATCTTGAGTTCAGCCTAGGAGGCCAATACTGAATGTTTCACATCCAGTTTCACATCTGTGTAAAACTTCCTTGCAAACATTCTATACTAGTTAAAAGGGACGCGGGCGGCGCTGTGGTCTAAACCACTGAGCCTCTTGGGCTTGTCGATCAGAAGGTCGGCGGTTCAAATCCCCACAGTGGGGTGAGCTCCCATTGCTCTGTCCCAGCTCCTGCCAACCTAGCAGTTCAAAAGCTCACCAGTGCAAGTAGATAAATAGGTACTGTTGCGGTGGGAAGGTAAATAGCATTTCCATGCACTCTGTTTTCCGTCACAGTGTTCCATTGTGCCAGAAGTGGTTTAGTCATGCTGGCCACATGACCCGGAAAGCTGTCTGTGGACAAACGCCAGCTCCCTCAGCCTGAAAGCAAGATGAGCGCCACATCCCATAGTCACCTTTGACTGGACTCTTTACCTATTGGTTAAAAGCATCCTAAGCCAGCCTTAGTGTTTTCTATAATCAACTCCAGTTGCTGGTGGCTGAGATAAAGGTTATCATGACTGTAGAAGAAAGTATAAAATGTCTGGTTTTTGAAACTGCTTGGTATGTATAGATATTTGATTGTTGAACAACAGCTGTAATGGGCATTGCTTCTCCCATTTTGTTAAAGCAGTAAACATTTCAAGGCACAAACTCTTAGGTGAGTATCTAGATCTCTAGTTTAGAATTTTTAAAAAACTATTTAGGCCTTTTTTGTGCAGCTACAATAGGTTATGAGAATTCCTTGTAGAAGCACATAAAGTGTGACCAAACCAAAGGTCTAAATAATTGGTGCTTTTTCATCACAAATTATGTTCTATTGTGTTTTGGGTCTCGCTTGCGTGCGCTCTCTCTCTCTCTCTCTCTCTCTCTCTCTCACACACACAAAAAAAAACACAGAGAGAAAGATAGACTCAAAATACAAGTTATAGAAAATACTTTGTGATGACAAGAGCACCATTTATTTAGAATGTACAATAAGTTTGCTGAATGGTATTTTTCCATATTTATGGTCGCTGGTACGGTTATTCTAAAACACACTTTCTATAAGACATTTGATGAAGGCTTCTTAGTAAAGTTGCACTCTGCTTCTGTTTGCCAATTCCTTCAAAACATGACATTATCGTAAGTACAGGAGAAGAGCCCGGCTGGATCCAACCAAAGGTCCATCCTGTTCCTCACTGTGGAAACTTGCAAGCATGACGTGAGAGCAACTGCCCCTCTTCCCACTTGTGATTCTCAGCAAGTGGTATCCAGAGGCTTTTTGCTTGCGATACTGCAGGTGTTATGTAACCTTCATGGCTACCGATAGCCTTGTTCCCAGTTGAATTTGTCCTGCATATTTTTAAGGTGATCCAAGTTGGTGGTCACTGTGTGAAGAAGTGCTTTCTTTCCCCTCCTGAAACTTCCCTACATTCATGTTGTGAACCGTCCTGAGATATACACATGAAATGGCCGTATGCACATTTAATAAACAATAAATAAATAAATAGCATTCAGTTTCATTGGTCAGCCCAGAGTATTATTATGAGAGAGGCTGAAAAACGTCTTGCTCTCTGCTTCCTCCTCACCATGTGTAGTTTTCTATGTTTCTAGCACGTCTCCCTTCCCCCCCCCCTAAACTAAAATGTCATAACCTTTCTAGCTTAGCTGACCTGCCATTGTGGTTTTGAATACCACCTGCAGCGTTCTGGAGAGCTTTCACCCTCTTGATTTGACCTTTCCGATTTCCTTTTT